AGTTACACAGCGGGCGCAGCAAGACGCTCACGGCGATCGGCAACGTGCATTACACCCGGGGTGAACTTGCCCAGGCTGCCGAGTGTTACCGCGAAGCGATCGACATCCGCACCCAGGTGGCCAGCGAGCAATCGAACGATGCGGAATCTCTCCGGCTGTTGGCCAATGCCCATATGAACCTGGGGCTGGTCGAACAGGCAGGCGGCAATTTGGAAGTGGCGGCAGAGGAGTACGAACGCGCTGAGGCAATTCGCAGGGATCTGCTGCAGGAACATCCGGATGACCCAGCGGTGCAGCGCGATTTGGCGAGGGGGCTGTTCAATCAGGCGATGTTGAACAGCCTGGAAGCCGATCGGCTTGAGACGGGCCCGGTTTCTCAAGAGCGGTTTGCCCGCGTCGAGGAGCAGTTGCAGGAGTCTCGCGAGCTGTTTGAACAGTTGGCCGAAGATGCTCCGCTGGATCCGGATCGGCAGTATCCCTTGGCCATGTGTTACAGGATGTTGGCCGATTGGTACGCCCGTCATGATGCCGCCAGCGCAGCGGAGTGGTACGAACAGGTGCTTGGTCGACTGGAAACATTGGCCAGCAACAATCCCCGAGTGGTCGACTATCACGAAGCCCTGGCCGGCATCTACTTGAATCGGGGGCGTTGGCAGTTTCAGCAGGGCAGGGCAGAGCCGGCCATCGAATCGTTCCGTAGCGCTTGTCGTACGTTCGAAGTGCTCAATCGAACGCAGCCCAATGCGTTACGCTATCGTCGCGATCTCGCGGTAGCACTGAGGGCCCTGGGCGAGTTGTATGCCTCGACGGGGCAGTACGATTCAGCAGAAAACTATTTGGCGCGGGCCGGAGATTCGTTCCGTGAGCTGCTCGACGATCATCCGGCGGAGGCCGAGTTCCAGATACAGCTTGAGGCCTGTAACGAAGCTCTGGAACAGGTTAACTCGATGAATGCTGAGAAGCCTGAGGAATAGCTAAACTTTCATGGCGCTCACACCATTGGGTGGTCGATGAAATGACGCATGAAATGTCCCGTTCCGAGTTCATTTCGTGCTATCGCAGCCATCATCAGAATCGCTCTGGTGTGTGGCATGGTCGCGTTGTTGCCGTTGCCGGCGCAATCGCAACCTACACCGGATGACGTTGTGCCGGATTCGGATGAGGCGGCCGAACCTCCAGTGGCTGCGCCGGGAATCGAACCGGTGCCGGTGCCTCCGCTCCCGTCTCTCCTGGATGAGGAGCTTGCGGCGCCGTCGGATGTGACTCCGCAGCCGCAGACGAATCAGTTCGTGTTCGGGCAGTTCTTGCTCGCCTCGCCAAGATCTTCGTTGGCGAGCGTGCCGCCGATGTTTGGCGATGGCTTCTACCGCGGCGGGATGTTGACTGCCAGCGAGAGCATTCCCGCCGGATCGATGACGGTGGTGACCGACGTTCCGCTTGCCGCGGGCAATCGCCGCTTGAAGATCGCCGAGCACAACATGGCCGTGCCAGTGGACCGTGTGTACTTCAACTACAACCACTTTCACAATGCACTGCAGACCAATGTTTCTGGTGTCACTTCACAGGGAGTTAACCCAGGTCCGTTTACCGCGGGAGACGATTTTTCTGTAGATCGTTTCACGCTGGGGCTGGAGAAAACCCTGTTCCAAGGGCAAAGTTCTATCGAACTGCGGTTTCCGCTCGCAGGACGATATGACTTCGATTTCGAGACAGGGAGCCCATTGCCGGAGCGGGCAATCGTTGACGGTGGAGCATTTGGAAACCTGGCGGTAATCACAAAGCATGTGCTCTATGCCGATGCGTGCGACGTACTGTCTGCAGGGCTGGGGGTCGACATTCCCACTGGCAGTGGTGCCGAAGTGCAGTCGGCCTTCGCACTATACCGAATCGATAACGAGGCAGTCTATCTGCAACCGTATCTCGCACTCACACGGGTACGCGACGCCGGTTGGTTCGGTCATGCGTTCTTGCAGTTGGATATTCCGCTGAACGGAAACTCGATTAGCCTCGAAACGCTTCCGCCGCTGACCCCGGTGGGCGGAGAGCTGGGGGTACTGGACGACCACGTGCTGCTGGAAGTTGACTTGGGGGGAGGTCGTTGGTTGTACCGCAATCGGTGCGCACGGCTCTTCACTGGTCTGGCGGCGATCTTGGAAGTGCACCTCACCACCACACTTGACGGAGCCGACACCGTAGCGGCCTCGCGTGGAACTCCGTTCGGGCCCGACTCTACGCTCAACTTCACGACCTCAGGCGAGTCGACGATCGTGAATATGACTGCGGGCTTCCACACCCAATTGGGTCCGCTTTCTTCAGCCCGATTTGCATTCGCGTTGCCAGTTTCGGGCGTTGAAGAAGACCGCGCATTCGACGCCGAGGTGATCGGCCAGTTCTCGCGGCGTTTTTAGGACGTGGAGGCGCAGCAGTAGCTGAAGCTGCCACGCAACGATCGCCAAGCTGCCGCCAGCTTACCTAGGCTTTCATCGCCCCCGGTTTGCCGGCTTCGACGACGAAGCTGGCCCGCTTATGCACATTGCCACCGGGTTTCGTGACGTCTTCGACGACGATGTAGTCGCTGGTCCACGATTCGGGCGTTACTCGGCAACGAACGTAACCGCGTTCGCGGTTGAAGAACTCCACACAGGGGTTGTTCGACTGGATCAGCTTCATCAGCCCCGTGTCTTCGGTTCCATTGCCGCCGCTGGTGATGCTGGTGGTGACGAACTCGGTGGCGACCGCTTCGTCTTCGCCGCGGCGGTCATCTACCCGCAGGTTGTTGACCCAATTGCTGTGGATATCGCCGGTGAGCACGACCGGGTTGGGAACCTTGCGGTCTTTCATGAACTCGAGGAGTGACATTCGCTCGTACGCACAACTGGGCCACTGATCCATCGAGAAGCCAAGCCGCCCGGGCAGTTTGAATTCGACCATGCCCATCATCACTTGCTGGGCCAGCACGTTCCAGGTGGCGGTCGAAGTGATCAGCCCTGCGTCGAGCCAGCGACGTTGCTTCTTGCCGAGCAACGAGTTGGTATCGCAGAGGGCATCCTCGTTGAGCGGCGATAGTCCGTCGCCGTTGGGTTGATCGGTGCGATACTGTCGGGTGTCGAGCACGAAGAACTCAGCCAGATTGCCGAAGTTGGAAGTGCGGTACAGCTTCATCTCGGGGCCGCGCGGCAGGCAGCGTGCCGACAGCGGCATCATTTCGTAATAAGCCTGATAGGCAGCCGCCCTTTGGGTGAGGAACGAAACGGGATCGGTCCCGTCGCCTTTCTCTTCCTGGATGCCTGCGGCGTAGTTGTTGTCGAATTCGTGATCGTCCCAAGTGAGGAGCCAAGGGCATCGGGCGTGCATGGCCTGCAATAACGGGTCGGCACGGTACTGCATGTGACGCTCGCGATAATCGGCCAGCGTCTTAATCTTCGTATCGGTAGGGCCGGTGTGTTTGCGAACGCGACCGTCTTCACCAGGGTATTCATAGATGTAGTCGCCGAGGTGAAATACCAGGTCGAGTTCGTCGGCTGCCATGTGTTCGTAGGCGGTGAACAGCCCGGTCTCGTAGTGTTGGCAGGAAGCGAACGCGAAATCGAGTTGCTCGGGCGTGGATGACGCAGCCGGCATCGTGCGGGTGCGGCCGATCGGACTTTCGGCATCGCCGGTGCGGAAGCGGTACCAATACCAGCGGTCGGGCTTGAGGCCTCGCACGGTGGCATGAATCGAATGCCCGAGCTGCGGCGTGGCCAACTCGGAACCCTTGGCGACGACATTGTTCATCTGGTCGTCTTCGGCGATCTCCCAGTCGACCGAGACCATTTCGGCCGGCATCCCGCCGTCGGGGTCTTCTGGCGTGGGGGCCAACTTGGTCCACAGCACCACGCTGCGAGGCGTCGGGTCGCCGGAGGCCACGCCGAGTGAGAACGGATCGGAAGAAAACGAGCGGCTTCGCTCAGCCGCCGTCGCCCGCGAGGCCAGCGAAGGCAACGCGGCCAGGGCCGACGCATAGGCAACAAACAAGCGACGCGAAACGCCGCCCTCATACCGCACGGCTTCCGGGATCTTGTTCAAATCGAGCATGGGGTGGGGACCTATTTATAGCTGTGGATCAAGAAGGTGTGAAAATAAAGACTTACCGCAGGGCAAGTCGGTGGGATAAGTGGAGGATAATTGCCCAAATGCCCGGAGGCAATCGTTCGGGGCAGGGGGTATGTACGAAGCAGAATTCGCCACGGTCCTAAGTGTAGCCAGGTGTCAATGGCTGGGGCGGGGATGGCAACGTTGAAGGCGTAAGAGGGTTTACGGAGTCCCTATCTGACAACTGCGTTAGCAACTTTAGAAGTCACTTTTAGGCAGCGCAGGCTCATCACGGTTTGCAAAAATATCGTCGTTGAACTGCACGAGGCATCGGTTGAGGATTTCGGCTAGTTCGTCCGCTTTCTTGCCATACAGGTTTGGCAGGGAACCCTCGCATTGTGCGAATGTGGAATTCACACGGCGACGAAGCTTGGCCTGGTCGTATGAAGGCACGTAATTGAATCCAACCATATTCTGTACGGTCGTGCCGCCCTGTTTTAAGGAAACGGGGAAAAACTCTTCGATCACGTTCCATGGGATTGTGGTGACACGAAACATGCTGGCGAAGGTAAGGCCCTCCTCTGAAATTCGCAAATAGGTGCTGCCTGGAAGTAATTGCACTACGGACACGGGTATGCCGACTGCAAAGAATGCAGCGATCAAGTACCCGATCCAATGTTCCTCCTGCGCCATCCACAGTTCGCCTGCCACGAACATGCTGCAGCACATCAGCAGCCATATCGCTGAGCACTTCTTAGGGGGAATAACTAGCTGTGCACTAGAGTCGATGGTCATTTAGATTTAGATCGAAGCTTGGAAATTGAGATCTGCAAATTGGCAGTTCCATCAATCGGAAAAGCAAAGTTACATCTCACGTGTCGAACCTTAGGGGGGCTGGTGGCACTCTTGATAGGAATTGTTTCCTATTTCTAAGCGATGACGATCGACAGGCCGAAGGGATCTTCTAGAGCGGTGAATAGTTTGAGACAGGTATGCGGCACCTCGAGGCCGGCCATGTCGCAGTTCGATCGATAACCGCAGAAGACGTCGACTCTGAATTTTGTTTTCAGCGATTTGATATAATCGACGTGCGGCTCCACGACCTTCATAAGTGCGTCAATGTGCACGTCGAGAGGCTCGGTCTCGGGAATGTTTGGTTGGTAGTGCCAGGCATCGTCTTTGGCTGCGGGAGAGCGAGGGCCTTTGAAATCCCCCTTTCTCCGTGCCATGGTTGGCTCGACACCAAGACGCTTGGAAATCTCTTCGAAAGGGATGTCATCTCCGTGAATACGAAGCGAGACTGTGAAGTGGAAGTAGTTCTCTTCGTCGGGTTCCTTGCCTTCAAGAAAGCCACGGAGGGTGCGAAACCCCTTTTGATCTGGTGGGTCGGTCATGCGATCGGCGCGATTCGCGGCTATATAGGTGTCAGTCAACTTCAGAGCTGTGCGAGTGAACTCCTGCCATCGAAGGATCTACTCAACTTTGACTACCTCAATCATTTTACATGGTAAGTTTCCCTAATTCGAAGAATCGTCGTCCGGCTCTTCTGCGTGGAGCAGTGTGGAAACCGAGCCGCCGCGGGAGGCAGCGAACTCGCGGAGTTGGTTGCTGAGGTGGGCCTTAACGTCGGGCGGGACGGCGGGGTCGAAGATCTGCTGGAACACATTGGCGAACACGGCGCTGCGAATCTTGTCGGAATCTTTAGGCTGGTTGACGACGGCCTGGAAGATTGCCAGGCACATTTCGTTGGTCGATTCTTCGCCCAGCAACACTCGCTGCGGTGGCTGGCTGGGGTTTCGTGGGTTGTCGGCGCTGTTGTCGAACGAGCCGACGACGTGGATGGTTGTATCTTTGGGCAGCCGCACCGGTTCGCGATAGACGTATTGGTTCTGCCAGTAGAAGTCCCAGTTCTTGACCCAGACCAGGGGCACTTCCTCGCCGGTTGGGTTGGTTGCCCAGACTTTGAGACGGCGGCCCAGCAGGTGCATGTGGGGCATGACGGCGGTCAGCGTGACATCAACGGGCAGTTTTAGCTCGGCAGAGACTTCATACTGGTCTTCGCCCGGGGGGATGTCGATGACCATGGGGCCGAAGATGAGCGGCTGCCCCGATACGTATCGCTCGACGGGTTCTTTCGCCAAGTGAATGCCGACGCGCGAACGGTCGGTTTCTTCACGGCCGGTGGGATGCAGGTGCAGTTGAACCACCAGGTCGGCCCCTTTGGGCAGACGTTGGCCGACTCCTTTGGGCAGAACTGGAGGGCTTACGCCGGGGGCCCAGATTGTCATCACTCCGGCGAGCGGGATTACAGATCCGGTGTCGGTTGTGAACCCGGGTTCTGGTGTGGCTTCGTCATGCTTTCGGGCCAGGCCGGAATCGTCGACGAAGACGATAGCGTGATGCACCGCGCGAGGGTTCCCCGGCTGGAACTCGACCGCAACGGCGATGGCGTCTTCTACGTCTTCTAAGGGAATCACAAAGTGATGGAACTGGTCGGGCCCCTCGGCCGGAACAGTCACCGAGTGGGACGCTTCGTACACCAGGTCGGGTTCGCCTAGGCGCCAGCCCGTGGGATACTCGGGCAGCACCGGCATGTCGGCTTCGTCGCCCTGGGGTGCACCGGCGGCGGCCCAATCACAGATCTGTTGTTTTTGCGCCGGGCTGAGTCGGCGTTCCGCTCGGAAGTGACCAAATCCGGTCTCGGCATGCCACGGTGGCATCAAGCCAGCTTCGGTGACCTCGGCCAGCCAATCGGCCCGTTTGGCGGCGTCTTCGTAGCTGATGAGCGAGAAGGGGGCGACCTCGCCTGGGCGATGACATTCTGTACAGTTGGTGTAGAGGATCGGCGCGATGTGACGCGTGAAGGTGACTTTTTGTGAAGTGGATGCGTTCAATCGGTTGTCGAGCAAGCAACCAATCGCTTCGGTTTGAGGTTCCGCGATTGTCTTCCCGGCGGCTAACGCGTAGATCGCTTCACGGAGATCGTGTTGGGTGACCTTGGGTCGCTTCTGCCCCGGTGAGGCGAACAAGTTGTTGATGCGGCCGCGGTAGGCCACTTCACCGGCGGGGCTGACTAGAAAAGCTTCCGGCACTCTTTTGGGCTGCAGTTGTTCGGTGATCTCTCCGGTCGTGTCGAGGAGAACGGGGCAATCGAGGTCGAAGTCTTTCTGGAATGCTCTCGTGTCGGCCAGTGTGGCGGTTGGATCAGTGAAGATGCAGAAGAAGTCGGTACCCTGCTTCTCGGCGTGTTCGCTGAGGCGGTTGATTTCAGGAACGTACTGCTGGCAGATGGGGCATTCAGCAGAGAAGAAGATGAAGGCCACGGGTCGCTGAACTCTTTCCCCGCCCAAGAAGTGCCGTGTGCCCGTCGTGTCGATCACTCGTCGGCCGAGAACCGAGGCCGTTTCCCCCGCCCAAGCAGGGACCGAGGCCAAGCTGAGAATCGCCGTCGCGAGGACGATAGCACTGCAGTATCGTCTTTGAGGACTGAGGGTTGTGGCCAGCCCCAAGTTCCGAATTTGCCTCGACATCAACGACTCCTGGTAGATGAACGACTTTGGATCTTACCTGCACACCTTTTTGTCAGAACGCCGCGGCTTGGGGACAAACTTCGGCCGCAATTGCTTACTTGGTGAAGCGAGTGTCCCCCGCAATGGTGGCCTCCAAGGCGGCTGGCATGAGGCGATGAAAATTATTATAGCTATCGGCCGCGGTGATGATGGGCAGCAAGCTTCGGCGCTCGAGACTTCGCCATCGCGTCAGGCCGAGTCCGGATTTCTCATCACGAAGAAGGCGTAGCTGTAGTAATCAGAATACTGGCGGAACACTGTGATCTCTTTTCTCGCCACCTCCAGAACCTCTTCTGCCTCTGGATCACCTTCCCACTGGAGCGCTTTCTCGGCGATGCGACGTTCCATGGGATCGTAGTAATGTTCGGTCCATGCCGCAGGTGGGAAGACGAAGTGATCGACCGGGCTGAGGCCGACGTCTTCGATGACCTTCAGCTTTGCGTCGATGGTGTCGATTTCTGGATACTCTTTCCAAAACTCGACGGCCTCCTCGGGTGGGTCGGGCTCGAGCCACACGGCCTCGCTGACGGCGATGTAACCGCCGGGCTTGACGAACGGTTTGATTTTACGAAGCCCGGCCTCGAAGCCCAAGTTGTAAATCGCCCCCTCGGACCAGATGACATCGAAGCTCGATGGCGGGAAGGCCATGTCGTTCATGTCCTGCTCGATCGTCACAAGACGGTTGGATACGCCGGTAGATTCGGCCTCGGCCTGCAGCCTGGCAATCATCTGCGGCAGCAGGTCGACCGCGACGATCGACCCCTCGCAGATTCTCAAGAGTTCGATGGTCTGCATGCCCGGACCACAGCCGACATCGAGAATCTTAGGAGAAGCCGGGAGATCGGCCATCATTCGAAACGCCCTGCGGGTTAGCTCGTTCGAACCCGGGCCTGCGCGGGGTAGCATTCCGTAAATTTCGAGGAATCTTTCCATCTGCTCTTCCAAAACTTCTCGGGCAGTCAAGATTGCCGCGGTGTCTAGCTCGCACGCTACGATGTGACCTATTCCCCGTCAATAGGCTGCCAAGCTTCGCGATCCGCCCACCATGAGAACAACGCGGTTAGTCACAAGACACTAGACTTTTCGATGCCAGAAGGATTCTCCTCTGCGGACGTGTTATGCTTCGTTGCGGAGTGCATTGCGTTGTGAAGTGTTGAAGTGTTGCAAATAAAGCAGGCCGCTGGAAAGATCGCTTCATTTGGCAAGTGACCACCAGCGCATCGACTTGTGGAGGGCTTGGCGATGAAGGACGTTCAGCGAGATGCGGACCTTCCCTACATCCTTGGCCACTCTGAGCATGAGATGAAGCGGCTGCGCTCGCAGGCGATGTTGCTGGAGCCAATTACAAGGAGATACTTGCAGGACGCGGGAATCGTAGAGGGGATGCGGGTCCTGGATGTCGGCAGCGGGGCGGGTGATGTGGCGTTTCTTGCGGCAGAACTCGTTGGTGTGACGGGTGAGGTCGTAGGGTCCGATGTGTCGCCAACCGCCATCGCCGCGGCGTCTCGCACGGCCGTGGAACGTGAACTGAAGAATGTTCAGTTTCTAGAAGGCAATCCAGCAGAATTGAAGTTTGATGGCAAGTTCGACGCGGTGATTGGGAGGTACATTCTTCCTTTCCAGCCCAATCCTGCGGCGATGCTGCGAGGGCTCGCCAGGCATCTCGTCGATGGTGGTCTCATCGTCTTTCACGAACCCGACTTCTCCTGCGTGCGATCGATTCCGCCTGCACCACTATACGACCGTGCCTGCAGTTGGATTGTCGACACCACGCGATTGAGCGGCCAATCGTGGAGTTTTCTCGACAAGGTTTGTCCTGCGTTTCTTGAAGCAGGCTTGCCCGCCCCGACACTGAGAATGCAAACCTTCGTGGGAACCGCTCCTCACACTCGCGAGTGGCTAAGGGCGGTTGGCGACATGGTGGAATCGCTTCTTCCAACCATGCAGCAATTCAACGTCGCTACGCCCGATGAGGTCGAGGTTTCATCGCTCCGCGACCGCCTGTGGAAGGAGGTGACCGAGCTCGACAGCGTGGTTGTCGGGCGTTCGGAGTTGGGGATCTGGACGCGAGTGGACAGCGGTGTCGTTTGAATAGCTTGCGATAGTGATTTGGATCGACGTCAGTTCGGATGTAGGTTGATACATGCAGAAACGCTCGGGGTAGTGAACTTCACATTCTTGATATGAGGTGAAGCATGCGTTGGCTGATTCTGTTCGGGTTCGGGTTTCTCGCGTCAATGGTTGCATCCTTTGCGTGCGCTCAAGATGCGTTGCTGAAGGATCTTGGCGATCGATATGAGGCGCAGAAGACCAAGTATCGGCAGGGATTGGATGCTGCGGAAACTCCCGAAGCACGGATCGAGGTATTTGAAACGCTTGATCCGCGCAATGTGTTTGTGGATGAGTTTCTTGAAATTGAGAAGGCCCATCGTGGCAGCCCGGCTGCGGTGAGTGCTCTTTATAATTTGATGTTGAACGCGCTCGGGATGGGTGATCCGGATGCTCCCGCGTCTCAAGGGCGGGTGAAGGCGATCGAACTCTTGCGAGAGCACTACATCGACCACCCTGATCTGGACCTCTTGCTGGGTTTCCTGAGGGCTGGGGCATATGTGCCTCAGGCAGAGGGTTTTCTCCGCGAAGCGACACGTAGTTCGCAAGAACATGTACGAATTGCAGCCTTGTACCACTTGGCGCACTTCCTGCAACACAAGGCCACATTCATCTCAAGTTACGCGGAACGCCCAGAATCGATGGAGTCGGGCGATGGTATCTCTCCAAGGTTGGCCGAGTACCATCGTAAGAATCGAGCACTGATCAAGGAGCTTGGCCCCATTGATGTCGAAGAAGTGCTCGAGGAAGCTGCGCGGCTTGCAGAGGAAGTTCTGCAAGCAGATCCAGAAGCGCATCATGCGTATGCGAGGAGAGAAGGGCCAGGCGATCTGAGTATCCGGCGACTGGCCGATGAGGAATACGGCACTAATGAGCCGCCGAAGTTTCACACGATGGCGGAATCGTTGCTCTTTGAGTTGAGGCATCTCCAGGAGGGCCAAGAGGCTCCGGATATCGTCGGCACCGACCCCGATGAGTTGGAATTCAAACTGAGCGACTACCGTGGTCGAGTGGTGCTGCTGATGTTTTCTGCCGGCTGGTGTGGCCCTTGCAAAGCGATGTATCCGGAGCTTCGTAAATTGCAGGAAGTATTCGCGGATCAACCATTTACTGTGCTGGCGGTGATGGGTGATTTCGAACTGGAGACGGTGATTCGTGCCACCACCGATGGTGATATTTGCTGGAGGACCTGGTTCGACGGGAACCAAGGACCAATCGCTACACAGTGGAATGTTCGATCGTGGCCAACGCTGTATTTACTCGATCACAACGGTGTGATTATTGATGACGAACCTTCCTCCGATTTCGCCGGCTTGAAAAAATCGATCGAAGTGGCGCTCGTAACCCGAAGTGAAGATCCAGACGCGGATGATCTGCTCGCCGCTCACGCAGTTCCGGATCTTCCTATTGTGAAACAAGCGGAAGAGGCGGCTGTTTTGCGGAATCGCGCGGAACTCCGCTTTGAGTTGGAATATGGCGTTGGTCGATCTGCCCGCGTTGCCTTCGATCGTGACGAACGGCTGATGATTGTCAGTAGCAACGAACGAATTCAGCTTTCTTCATCAGATGATGCCCAGGAAGAGCTTGCTGCGCGGCTTAAGAAAGCGGTGGCCAAAATCCAAGTGTGGGATGTTCAGTCCCAAAAGGTCGTTCGTGAATTTGATGAACTTCAGGGTTTGGTTGGAGAGGTGGCCATCTCACCGGACGATCGGTTCCTGGTAACGGTAAACCGCCCGCGCGATAACCTGGATGGAGCCCAATTGCAGCTTTGGGATTTCCAGTCGGGCGACTTGTTGAAGGACTTTCCTCCACTAGAACGTCGAGTTCTCGTTACCAAGTTCTCGCCCGACGGTTCATTGCTGGCCACGGGAGGGTTCGACAAAAATCCACGGGTCTGGAGTATCCCCTCGTGCGAAGAAGTGACCAAGCTGCCCGAGCAGCCGTCGTTTTCTGATTGCCTTGAGTTCACCCCAGATGGGCGACTGCTCGTTGTGCCGTCGCGCAAAGGGGATGTGACGGTCTGGAACACCGAGTCTTGGACGTTGCAAAAGCAGTTTCAGGTCGATGACTTCTTCCTGCTGGGCGCCGCTCTTTCGCCCGATGGCAAGGTGTTCGCGGTTGGTGGGGCGAAGCAAGAAGGTGACCAATTAGGGACCAGGGATTCTGGGATTGTCGTCGTGTGGGATCTCGACTCTGGGGAAGTGCTGTCCGAACTTGAGACCGAGGGCTTGGTCAGCGGACTATCATTCTCGGCGGATGGCAGTTTACTTGCTGCGATCGGGATGAGCCCGAACTTGACGATCTGGGAATGGGAAGATAAGCGTGTGCACGCCCTGATTCCCCTCGAGACTCGGACCAGCGGAAGCGAAGTCGATTTCTTGCACCACTCGGGCTTGCTGATGATCAACAACAAGCATGGCCGACTGTCGTTTTATAAGATCGCTAAGTAGGGCAACGTTTCAATTCACGTCGGTTGTGGGCTTACTCATCCAGCGTGATGGTCACCGACTCGAGCTTGCCGGTAAAATCGAAGGGCATGTCGTAGCCTTCCATCACGGGGGTGCCGGTGTCGAAGCCGATATCGAGGGTTTCGTCGAGCGTGACTCGGTTGGGAATGCTCTTCTCGACGCGGCCCTTTCCAATCGCTTTGTCGCCGGCGTAGAGCGTCACTTCGGCTCCGGCGTAGGGCTTGTCGGCATCAGTTTTATAGACGGCTTTCAACGCGGTCTTGCCCGCGGGTAGACGCTCGTCCGACTCGATGGTGAAACGTTGGACGCCGACGAGGTTGTAGTGGTAGACCAGTTTGCCATCCTTCACCATCAAGCCGTAGCCGCCGAAGCGACCACCCTGGGTGAGGAGCATTCCTTCGGCACCTTGCTCAGGGATTTCGACTTCGGCTTCAATGGTGTGGTTGCGATGTTTCAAGTCGGGCGCGGCGCCCTCGGGCAGGCGGAGCAGATTGGGGTAGACGAACTTGTTGCGCCCCTGCGTTAAACTCGGTCGGTTCGCCACGTCGAGTCGGGCGGTCTTGCGGTCGTCGAGCGGGAGGACGTTGTATCTGGCCGCCTCGGCGAAGAACAGCTTTACCATTTCCTGGAGCTTCTCGGGTTGCTCCTTTGCCAGGTTGTTCGCTTGGGCGAAGTCTTCTTCAATGTTGTAGAGCTCCCACGGCATGTTCAGGAGATCCATGGGTTGATTCTCGCTGAGCCAGGGGACGCCGCGAATAGCGCTGGCCATCCAGCCGTCGTGGTAGATGCCCTGGTTGCCGAGCATCTCGAAGTATTGGGTGGTTCGCCGGCCTTTGGCCTCCTCATCGTCGAAGGTGTAAGTCATGCTGACCCCTTCGATAGGCTTTTGCGCGATGCCGTCGAGTTCGACCGGGGGTTCGACGCCGACAATTTCGAGAATCGTGGGGGCGATATCGATCACGTGATGGAACTGATCGCGAATTTCACCACGGGCTTTGATTCCCTTGGGCCATGAGACTGCAAGCCCAGTGCGGGTGCCACCAAAGTGGCTGGCAATCTGCTTGGTCCACTGGTAGGGCGTATCCATCGCGTGGGCCCAGGCGGCGGGGAAGTGGTTGTAGTGTTGGTCGCTGCCCAAGGAGTCAACTGCTTCGAGCTTCATCTCCAAAGGCTCTTCGATTCCGTTGAAGAATGTCATCTCGTTCAGCAGGCCTTGCAGCCCGCCTTCGGCACTCGAACCGTTGTCGCCCGCCAGGTAGATGATCAGCGTGTTATCGAGTTCGCCGAGGTTATCGACGGCATCGATCAAGCGGCCGACTTCGTGATCGGTGTGGGCGGTGAAGGCTGCGAAGACTTCCATCATCCGGGCGTAAACTTTTCGCTCGTCCGCAGGCAGAGAATCCCAGGCTGGCAGCGAGTCGGGCCGGGGCGTCAGTTTGGCATCTTTGGGGACGATGCCCATCTTTTGCTGACGGGCGAAGGTCTCTTCACGATACTTGTCCCAGCCGCCGTCAAACTTCCCTTTGAACTTGTCGATCCACTCCTGCGGTACCTGATGCGGTGCATGGGTCGCGCCGGTGGAAAAGTAGACGAAGAACGGACGCTGCGGGGCCACCGCCTTCGAGGCTCGCATCATCCGAATTGCTTTGTCGGTAATGTCGGTGGTGAAATGGTAGGGGCTGCCGTCTTCGTTGGTTTCCGGCGGCTCGAGGCGTTTCTTGTTTTCTACCAGGGCAGGGTGCCACTGATCGGTGTCACCACCGACGAAGCCGTAGAAGTAGTCGAACCCTAACCCGTCGGCCCAACGGTCGAAGGGGCCGACGAGACTGGTTTCCCAGTCGGGCACGTTATGGTTCTTGCCGAACCACGCATTGCAGTAGCCGTACTCGCGCAGGATCTCGGCAAAGGTGCCGGCCGACGAAGGGATAATTCCTGAGTAGCCGGGGAAGCCGGTGCCGGCCTCGCCGATCACTCCGCTGGCGACCGAGTGGTGATTGCGCCCCGTCAGCAGTGCGGCCCGGGTTGGCGAGCAAAGCGCGGTGGTGTGAAATCGGGAGAAGCGAAGCCCGTTACTTGCGACACGGTCCATATTGGGTGTGGGGATGCTACCGCCAAAGGTGCCCATCTGTCCGTAGCCGCAATCGTCAATCAGCACGAGCAAGATGTTGGGCGGGTCTTGAAGCCCAAAGTTACTTGGAATCTTCAACTCGGGCTTCACCGCTTCCGAGTCCTTGTAGGTGAGCCCAATCTTTCCCTTGAACGGTTCATCTGGCCGCGGAAGGATCTCGTCAGCAACGAGGTCAGGGGAGATTGCCAAGATCAGAAGGCAAGTCGGGAGAGTTCTCGTCAGCATGGTACCGGTATCCCAGAAGAGAGGAATTGCCTTGAGTACACTTCCTGCGCGGAAAAGTCGCTCCATTCCGTGGAGGAACCACTCTCGTTTAGAAACTTAGAATTACCGCACCCCATCGCCCGCTGGAAGAGTAAGCCCAGTGTAGCAAGCGGGGATGCGAAGACAACGAAATAGAGTTGCCTTGCAGGGATTGTCCGAACCTCGCCAGGCAGAATGCTTCGCGACAGAAGAGAAAAGCCTGCGTCGATGGCGAAGGCAGATTGTCCATATGGTGGGTGTAGAGAATCGATTGCTAACTATGTGCGCTTCTTGAAACTGCGCGTACGACGCTCGCAGCGTCGCATGCATAGAGATCTGCACCACCGAATGGGTTCAGTTCTAAAAGCTTCAGTTCCCCGTCGGCTTCGCAAATATCCAGAACGTAGACCTCTGCGGGAGGTGGCAGTTCGGAGGCCACTGACTGAGCGAAGTCCCAGGGTTCGCCATCTGGAGAGGCTTTAGTTGCCTTTCGCGTTTCTGCGTCGTAGGCCGATCCTGCGCAAACGGTTGAATCAGCCACAACGAATCGCCACTCACAACTCACGTTGCAAACTGGAGCAGCAACGACGGGAATTGTTTCGTCGTCGAAATAGAAGCCGTGGTCGAGTGCAGCTAGAGTTATCTCCCGCACATCAACGACGCGACCGCTAAATGGTTTGAGTGGGCTATTGGGCCGAACGAAAATTTGGTTGCCCGAATTTAACTCGTCGGCAACCTTAGGGGCCGTGGCCACTAACTCATTCGCCGGCATAAGTCTCCAGTCGGAGTGAAGTAGCCACTTGCGGGCGGCTCCGTACCAATTGGAGCAGCAAAACGCCGGGGTTTTGCAGAATGAGCCGGGCGTCCATTCCAGCTCTTCGGTTATGCGAGCCGCATTGCCTAACGAACCATGGAAATAAGTTATGGACTTCCCAATTTGCGATGGAAACTCTCCCGACCACCAGGAGTCATCCCACTCGATTAGCTGGTCCCCATTCTCGCGAATGGCTTTTCGCAGCTCTCCATGTGAATCCGGGAAGACATCGGATTCTAGAACCCAAGTGCTTCGAGTCATGCAGCAGACCTCGAATCGAACTCTACATCGACAACGTCTTCAAGTCGTCGAGCAGTTGCTTTCGCTCTTCGGGGTCCTCAACCTTGTCGGCTAGCTTCTTGGCGGACGCGGTGTGCTTTTCGAAGGTTGCTTCGTCGCCCAGGATGCTGGCGGCGCGGGCGATGGCTTCGTTGGCATAGGCTTCGTAGAAGGGGCCTTCAGTCACGCTATAGGAAAGGCACTCTTGGGCCATGTCCATTGCCATGGGGCCGTAGCCGGCCAGGGTGAGCACGCGGGCAACCTGCCAGTAGCCGATCGAGAGGGCCTGGTCGCTGCAATCGGGCCGCTGCGTCCGGTGCCACAGCGAGGACATCGCGCGGAGGACCATTTGGGTCTGGTCCTCTTCCGAGCGATTCGGCTTGTCGATCAGCTTCCAAGCAGAATTGAAACAGTGAACCGAAAAGTAGCGGTGAGCCTGCTGGGTATCGATTTTCGGTGTATCCGACATGAATGGCACTCCGAGTGCAGTGGCCTACAAACTCCAATCAGCCCAATTATTAAATCTTGGATACATATTTGCCAAGACCGGTAGTCTGTGCAAGTTATCGGTCCCGAAGAAATGGCATTGGGTGGCCCCGGGCCCACGCCAACCTGCGTGCAAAGGACTGCCCATGCGTAGCGGTCAGCCATCGCGAACGAAAGTACTGCGGATTGCGTGAGATTCGAATTCTTACGGGCATTGTGGGAATGCCAAGTCGAAACAAGTTGCCCCAGGCGGCGTTCCGAACACCAGTTGCCTGCGGTTACTTCTGCTTAGCCACCTTGGGTGCGGGCGAGTCTTCAATCAGTTCGAGTGCGTTCTCGATGAGCACCTCGCCGGTCATTTCGCCGAGGCAGGTTTGCGAGATGTACTCGTACCGCTCGAAGCTGCCGAAGTCGACCTTGGTGAGGATGTAACCGAAGGCGTCGTTGGTGAGCCCGAGGAGAAGATTGTTTTCGCCTCGCATGTGCCGCTTGAGGTAGTAGCCAATGTTAGGCAGGGCCTCGCCGGGGATGGTGAGGATTTGGGCGTTGCCGAGGTTTACCAGGTTGAGCCGGGTGGTGACCGATTTGTCGTCGTTGTGTGGGTAGTTCAACGGTGAGCCCCGCATGATGAACCACATCAGCCGCGATTCGACCGGGAATTTCGCATCGCGGGAATAGCAGGCCAACGGGGGATCGGCCTGCACCGAGGCATCTTGAACAATTCGCTGCGCTTCGGACGCCATGAGGTGCCCGATCCGCAGGCATTCTTCCCAGCTACGGGAGTCGTGCCACTTGGCTTTCAGCGGATCGGAAGGGTTGTCGAGGATGCGGTTGTCGGCCGTAATCATGCCGCCCTGAGCGCCGTTCATGAACATGCCCATCCCGCCGAGGTCGGCTTCAAGCTTGTCGCACAATGGGCCAACCAGGTCGGGGCTGGTGATGCCGAGCTTGTTGCCGAGCACCTCGGGGTGAACCGCATAGTTGACCAGCGTGCCGATTGTCTTGCCTTCAGGTGTCAGGGCCTGAATGACGGTCATCCGTGGGTCATACAGTTCAGGGGCGTAATAGTTGTACGCGATCTTGCCCTGGGCCTCGCCAGTGGCGATTTTGAGTTGTGCGTCCTGCAGGTTGTCCAACGCTTCGTTTACCGCGACGGCCGCTTTGTTGCAGACCGAATCCATGTAATCGAGATCGCCCGAGGTCTTCCCGTCGAGGCCCGGGAAGCCGTAGCAATCGGGTGCACTGTGGGTATGCGTGGAGCCGATGAGAACGTTCTCGGCCGGAATCCGCGGGACCTGCTTTCGGATGCGATCGCACAACACCGACGGGAAGCCCAACAGGTCGAGCTGCACGATGGCGACCTTCGTTTCGCCCTGTTGGAAAACCATCGCCCGAGCGGTGAGTTCCCCTTGTTTGCTGGTGGACGGAACACCCTGGCCCACGCCACCGGAAAGGGGTAGCAACGGATCGGGCGTGATGATGTTCTTCGCCACGCCGACTTTGAATTCGGCCTGCGCGGGAATGGCGAAAATGCAAATAAGAATAACAAGCGTCAGGGGGGCGAAGCGGGGCATGGCGGTTTCTTTGGGAGGGAGTATTGGTTTTTAGGCGAGAGCCGTTTGTGGTTGACGATTATAGTCACTCGCCGCGTGAGAATCTTCAACTGGCCGCGAGTGAGGGAAATGTAATCAGGCCAGGCGTTTCAGGTACTGCAAGTCGGTGGCCGACTGGTCGAGTAGCTCTGGGGTGGTGAGCTTCTTGAAGCTGGAGTCGCCCTTATATTCACTGTGCAGGGAGATGACTCCGTCGTATTCGAGCTGGCGGAGTCGGGCCATGAACTCCGGCAGGGGGGCCTGACCCTCGGAAAGCGGCGTGTACTGCGGGCGGAAGCGGAGCTGCCCGTGCTCGTCGCGGCCGTTTTCGATCCAGCGGAAGTTCTTCACGCCGACCAGGGCGATCCAGGGGGCGAGTAGATCGAGCCCCATCTCCCAGCCGGAAAGTCCGCCCTCGACCGTCATGTGCATCGGGTCGACGTAGGCCCCCACCTCCTGGGGCGAAAAGTCCTGCAGAATCAGGTACAGGTTCGAGCCGCCATTGGCCAGGATGTCGCCCGAGTGGACATGCACGCAGGGCAGCACGTGGTACTTGGCGGCCAGCGTAGCGATGCGTTTTAGTTGTGCCCGCGCTGTGTCGAGTTGTTTGGCCAGGGTGCCGAACGGTTCGTACCGCCAATAGCCCAGCTTGATCTTGCGAACGCCATGATGGGCGCACGAGGCGATCACATCCTCCGCATGAGGACTTGAGACATCGACAATGCTGGTCGTCGCCATCGGGATCGACACGTCCAGCCGGTCGGCGACCGCGCGGGCGGTGGCCAGCCCCATCTCGGCCTTCTCCGGCAACACATGACCGCCGGGGCGAAGCGTGATGTCGATGCCATCGAAACCCGCTTGCTTGGCCGCCCGACAGGCTTCTTCGATTGACAGGTCGGCAAGGTTGTCGGTGTAGAGAACGTACTGCATGAGTGGTAGTTGCCGTTTCAGGGCTCGGTTGCTCGCGAGGTTATCACTACCGAGCTTAGCAGAGCCGGAAGGCCGTAGCTTGACTCTCGTGAGATAGTTATGCCTTCAGCAGTTGCTGCATCGGTTTGTCGTGGCGGGTGTTGCGGCGAATGAAATACCAGTACGGCACGCGCAGTGGCCAGAGGGTGAGCGAGCGGATGTGCTTGGCCTGGCCCTGGAGTGCTGCGGAAAAGTGCTCGGTTAGGTTGGCAGCCGCCGGCTTGGCGGGAAGGTCGCCCGTGCTGATGAGGTACTGCAGGCCTTCTTGGTGCCGGTCCCAGAGTTGGTCGATGGATTGGACCGTGAACGATTGCAGCCAACTGCCCGGGGGCGTTGGGAATAACTGTCCGTCCTTGGTGGTGCCGGTCGTCAGTGTGTTCCCTGCGTCGCCATGAACCGAGACCAGGTCCAGCGCGGTGTGGGTCGTGGCGACGACGTAAGCCGCCAAGTAAGTCGCTTCGTCTCCACGGGTGAGGGCGACCATCTTGATGTTACCGGGAATGTGTTCGACGTGGTACGCACCGGTGGGGCGAAAGTCGTGGGCCTTGGCCCAGGCCATGTCCAACAGTCCCTCGTCGATCACGAGCGACAGAATCTCCCGGGCTTCGTCATCATCCAGCGGTGTGAGATGCGCCTTATGCATCGACAATACGGGTACGCTGCCCATGAACGAAATGAACAGCCAGAACGCAGCCACACCGCCCAAGAAATACAGCAGGCCTTGAGAAACGTAATCCATCGCTGCCCCCAGCGGTTGGTGGATGACACTTGTACGCTTAACTAACAGAATGCTGTGGAAAATTATGAGGTGTGTGTTGGCGGTTCTCAAGAAATAAATGGTTGTCGGAGCCAAGTGGGGCGCCGGCTAAAAAACCGCGGCGTTTCGGTTGGTGAGAGTTCTTCTCATTGCATCACGTCGACTTCGTCGACCCAGCCGGTGCGGCAGGGCCACCCGGGTATGAGGTATGACCTTCGAGTTGCGAGTGTTCTTGTCTCGCTATTTGCTGGCCTTGTGACTCGAATCCGTTACATTCGTAGGCGGTTACATGATGTGCCTTGTGGTGGGATGTGATGGCTGAGTCTGAATATCAAGCCGATGTGGTGGTGGTTGGCGGGGGGATTGCCGGCATCGTTGCGGCCGTGGAATTGCTCACCGCCGGCAAACGTGTGCTGCTGCTCGATCGCGACGAAGAGTCGGCCCTGGGCGGGCTGGCGAATTGGGCGTTCGGTGGAATGTTCTTCGTCGATACGCCCATCCAGCGGCGAAACGGCATTCGCGATAGCCTCGAGCTGGCCAAGCACGATTGGTACGCGTTTGCCGAGTTCGCCGAAGATGAATACTGGGGCCGCCAATGGGCCGATCAGTTCATTCACCTCACGACCGAACATGCGTACGAATGGCTGACACAACGGGGCATTTCGTATTTCCCGGTGTTGAATTGGGTCGAGCGGGGGTTGTTCACCCCGGGCAATTCGGTGCCTCGCTTTCATTTACTGTGGGGAACTGGTTATGGCCTCACGCAGACGATGATCGGCCAACTGCGAGGTCATAAGAACGTCGACAAGCTGCAGATCGCTTTTCGGCATCGGGTGACCGAAATCGAAACGCAGGACAACACGATCAAAGGCGTCTCGGGCATTCGCGAAGATGATGGACCCCCGTTCACGGCTACCGCCGATGTGGTGGTGATCGCCAGCGGAGGGCTCGGCGGAAGTATCGAACGGGTGAAAGAAGATTGGTGCAAAGACTGGGGCACCCCGCCGGAGACGATTCTTAACGGTTCCCACGAGTACGCGATTGGCGACCTGCACGATGCGGCCGAGCGGCTGAACGGCTCGGTGGTGAATCTCGACAAGCAGTGGAACTATGCCGCCGGGGTGCATGCCCCCAAACCTCGTATGCCAAACCACGGGCTGAGCCTGGTCCCCACGAAGTCGGCCCTGTGGTTGAACCATCGCGGGGAGCGGTTCAAGCCAATCCCACTGATGACGGCCTTCGACACCCGATACCTGGTCGAGCGGATTTGCCAGGAAGAGCAGAAGTATTCGTGGCAGATCCTCAACATGAAGATCGCCAAGAAAGAATTCGCCATCTCCGGCTCGGAACACAATACGGCGATCCGCGACAAGAAGCTGTTCAAGTTCCTGAAGACCATTCTTCTGGGCAACAAGCCGTTGGTGGACGATATGCTGGCCAACTGCAAGGACTTCGTGGTGGCCGACTCGTTGGACGCGCTGGTCGAAAAGATGAACGCCCTGGAGACTGATGGGCACGTCGACCCCCAGGTGTTGAAAGACGCCGTGAACGAGTACGATCAGAACATCGAACGCGGCCCTAAGTTTCACAACGACGACCAGCTACGCCGCATCGCTCAGGTGCGACAGTATCGGGGCGACAAGGTCCGCACCTGCAAGTTCCAGAAGATCAACGATCCGAAAGCTCTGCCGTTGATCGCGATTCGGTTGTTCATCCTCTCGCGAAAAAGCCTGGGCGGAATTCAGACCGATCTGGAAAGTCGGGTGCTGACCAAAAGCGTCGACGGCCAGCAAGCACCCATCGAGGGGCTGTATGCCGTGGGCGAGGCCGCCGGATTCGGCGGGGGCGGCATGCATGGCAAGCGGTCGCTGGAAGGAACTTTTCTCAGCGGCTGTGTTATTACGGCCCGAGTTGCGGCAAAATCAATCGCCGGCGGTAAACTATCTGCCTGGAAATAATCTCCACACCTTTACGAGACACTGCGACCAACATGAAAAAAACTGGTGCCCAACTAGCCGTGTTCGCCTTGGAACAAATCGGGGTGAAGTTCACGTTCGGAATCCCCGGAACGCACACCACCGAGCTTTACGACGAGTTGAACAACTCCGACAAAATCGAGCCGGTGCTGGTCACACACGAAGGCGGGGCGGCCTTCATGGGCGACGGGGTCTCGCGCACTTCAGATTCAATCGGAACGCTGACGATTGTCCCGGCCGCCGGAACCACTCATGCGATGAGTGGGATCGGGGAGGCGTTCCTCGATGGCATTCCGTTGTTGATCATCTCCGGGGGTTGCCGTCGCGACAGCGGGCGACATTACCAACTGCATCAGATGGAACTTGGCCCGTTGGTCACGCCGATCACCAAGGGTTACTTTCTGATCGAGAAGCACGAAGACATTATTCCGACGATCTATAAGGCGTACGACCTGGCTACCAGCGGCGAGCCGGGGCCGGTGTTTGTGGAGATTCCGGTCGAGCTGCAGTTGTTCAAGGGCGAATTCCCCGAGTTGCTCGAATACAAAAAGCCGCCGGCGCGGCCTGCGCCGAGCGATGCCGAAATCTCGCAGGCCGTCGACATGCTGTTGGCGGCGAAGAAGCCGTGCATCTATGTCGGCTGGGGGGCCGTCGATGCGGCCGACGAAGTTGCCAAGCTGGCCGATACCCTGGTCGCACCGGTCTCGACCACATTACAAGGCAAGAGCGCGTTTCGAGCAAATCATCCGCTGCACACCGGCGTTGGCTTCGGGCCCACGGGTCTTCCCCAGGCGCAGAAGACATTCGCCGGATGCGATTGCTTGCTGACCGTGGGGGCTCGCTTCGGGGAGATTGCCACCGGGAGTTATGGCATTACCGTGCCCGAGAACTTGATCCACGTCGACATCAACCCCGAGGTGTTCAACAAGAATTACCAGGCGAAGCTGGCAATTGAGGGGGACGCGACCGAGGTGATGAAGGCGATCAACGCGGGCGTAGCGGCAAAGAATTACAAGTCGGATCGCGATGCCCAGGCACTGACCAAGACTATCGCCGAAGAGAAGAAGGCCTACGGCGACACTTGGCGGCAGGGGAAACGCGACGACATTGTCTCGCCCGGTTACTTCTTCGAGTCGCTGCGTAAGCACTTACCCGAGGACACCTACTTGGTAATCGACGACGGCAAGCACACGTTCTTGGCGGCCGAGCTGTACGACTGTTACCATCCGCGGCACTTCATCTCCCCGACCGACTTCAACTGCATGGGCTACTGCGTACCGGCCACGATCGGTGTGAAGCTTACGCACCCCAATCATATGGTCGCGGCGATCGTCGGCGATGGGGCCTTCCTCATGACGTGCATGGAAATGCTCACTGCCGTGACGCAGGGCGTGGGGATCATGGTATTCATCTTCCACGATGGGGAATTAGGCCAGATCTCGCAATTCCAGAAGACCCCACTCAATCGAAAGACCTGCACCGTGTTGGGCGATTTCAACGCCGAGGGGATCGCCATCACCACCGGGGCCGAGTTCATCTCGATGAAGAACGACCACCAAATCGATGAGGGCATCGCCAAGGCCATCGAATACGCCAACGACAATCGCCCTGTGATCATCGACGTGAATATCGATTACTCGAAGAAAACGATGATGACCAAAGGTGTCATCAAAACAACACTAGGTCGCTTCCCGCTGACCGAGAAGGTGCGGTTTATTTCCAGGGCGGTGGCTCGGCATGTGATGGGGTAGTTATTTGCCAGGCGCTAGAGCATCTAGAAAGTGCGAAATCCCTCGTAATTGAAGATTCGGGTGGATAGGTCTATCGCTGCATGTTTCTGATGAGTCCGCTTGTGTGTGTAACGTTCATGATTAATGTATCTGAGATAAGGGGGGCAGTCTCATGGAGTCATGGAAGATATTACTTGATACACCATCCGAGAATCCGAGTCTTGGGTTCAGTGACTACGCTAGCGCCCTTGCGAATATAATTCAGTCGAGTGATGCCCAGTTTGCTATTGGGATTTTTGGCGGGTGGGGCTCTGGCAAAACTACACTAATGAATGCTATTGAGGCCCAGCTTAGTGAGGATCACGTCATCCCCGTGCGTTTCAGTGCGTGGCGATACGAACGAGAGAAGCATCTCATTGTTCCACTGCTCGATACGCTGAGAACATCTCTCTCGGAGTGGGGCGTGAAGCATCAGAAGAGTATCGCAAAAGAGACGGCCAAGACCATCGGGAAAGTGCTTTACTCCCTACTTGCAGGAATCGACATGAAGTTGGGGGTACCTGGTGCGCTGGAGGTGTCGTTAGCCGCGGATAGGTCTCTCGCCGCTGCGCGTGGGCTTGGAAACGAGGGAGAGGAGGTGCAGGTAGGAGAGTCCTTTTACCACTCGTGTTTTAAGGCATTGAGCGAAACCTTCCGAGCTTTCGTCGCAGATGATCCCGAGCGTCGCATTGTGGTGTTCGTAGACGACTTGGATAGGTGTTTGCCTGAAGGGGCACTAGAAGTATTAGAGTCGATGAAACTCTTTTTTGACATGGAGGGTTTTGTCTTTGTCGTTGGTCTTGATCGGGACGTAGTTGAGGAAGTTGTTGAGACGAAGTATTCAAAGCGATACTCGGATCTCGCAGAGGGTGAGAAGCATTTTCGGGTAAGTGGCTCGCAATACATCAAGAAACTGTTTCAAGTTCCGTTCAATCTATTTCCTGTCGCAGTCTCTGAGATCGGTGCGTTTCTCAAGACTACTTACGTCGAGGCAGGTTTAGGCCAAGATCAGATAGAGGAATTAGAAGATGTTGTTCAACCTCACTTGCAATATTTGGTAACTGATGCGGGCGTGAATCCAAGGGAGATAAAACGATACATCAACGCATACACGCTTCAGCGGATGGTCAGGCCGGATTTGGAAGGAAGCGTAATTCTATGTCTCCAGACTATTGAGTTTCGTGAGGAGTGGTCACTAGTTAGAGAGGGGGTATACGGATACCGGGAATCTTTCCTAAACCACGTGCAGCAGGAAATAGTACGAGGTTCCGTTTCTCTCGAAGATCTTGACCCTAGATTTCGAGCGATTCCATACGATTTCTTGACCTATGTGTCGAATGGAAATCCTGGTGAGAGCCTCTTGAGAGCGGCTGGATATATTGATGAATACCTTTTCGCAGGTGAGGTCACAGGTTCGAGTTCAAGCACTGGCTTCGTCGCTGATTTAGTGCGTGAGATTACTGGGCTCAGAACGGAAGTGAGAGCAATCGAACGAGGTGAGCAAGTACCTAACTCACTGCATGCCAAGATCACAGCGCTTGTAAGCCGATTCGGCAAAGATGATATTCTAAATCCCTACACCAGGGCTGCCTTACGAAGTGTCGAGAGGTTTTCCGCAAGCGTTCCAGAGATTGATCACTCAGGAGTAAAGCGTTCCGATTGGGCGAAGCGGGCTGACTCGCTGATAACACAAGCCATTACTGATCTGATCCAAGGAGCGTATTAGCTTCTAGCGATCGAATAGTCAGGATTGCAAGAGAGTAGCTAGTTATTTCAGACTAACAGATCGCACTTTGGGTATCTGTTGGAGCAGACAATGACCGGCTGCAGAATCCTTTGCCAGCAGCCGGTCAGTCGTTCTCCTCACTTCGCACCTCTGTCTCCGACATCCTTGCCAGAGGTACTTCGCAGCTTGCTCCCATTACTTGGGCACCTGCACCACGGCTCCTTTCGCCAGCCCGGCTTGTTCGAGGTGCCCGGTTACCGTCTGTCCGGTCACCGGGTCTTCGAACACCAAGTGGGCGTGAACCGAAGTGCCCGGATGGGTCAGGTTACCGACCGCATTCTCGGCATACACCCCGACAACCGTTCCCTGCACGTTGTCATACTCGGCCTCGAACGGTTGTTTGTCTGCCGTCAGGTCAATCTTCTTCAGTCGGGCATGCAATGGGCACGCACCATTAATAACGTGCAGGCGGACATCGTCGAACACGCCCTCGGCGGCGAACACGAATGGCTTGCTCGTGTCGACGCCGGCCTTAGCTGCGGCTTGGGCGATGAAGTGATCGAAATCATCGGGGGCCACCGACTCGGTCACTTCAACGTTCGCCCAAGCCGGCACGTAAGCACCCACCAGCATCGTCGCTTGGGCACCGGCCGGAACTTGCTTTACCGGCTGCAGCTTGCCTGAAGAATCGACGCTCGAGATGGTGACTTTCCCGTCGACAATGGTCACCTCGCCTTCGAGTCCTTCAAGTGCCGCCACGCCATAGAAATGCGGCGAGGCCACCAAGTCTTGCAGTGCCACGCGGCCTTGGTGCTGCTGCATTCCTATGGCTTCATGCATCTTGCCGTACTGAACAATCTTCCCGTCCCACGTTTCGCCTCCCACCGCCAGCAATGGGATCGCGACGCACAATACCGGGGCAACAACGGTCACGAGCAGCCTTCTAAATATTGTCTTCATCTCTCCACCTCGCTTGCAATCACGTGCCGAATACTTGCAACGCAACTTGCTCATCCCAGGTTGCCACACACTCTTTGACTTTCTGTTTAATAAGTTGTGCGAATCTTATGCCCAAGGTTGGAGTATGCCGAATCACCCGCATTTTTATTAGGCCGCCATCCCGCTGTGTCTCGCCTCGTGCGGTTTCGCACGAAAAGACTGGGAATTATCGCGCGCTTTGTCACACGTTGCACACTGCCTCTGGCAAGTCTAGGCTGAGACTTCTAAGGCCACGTCAAGCACATCGGCGAAGTCGACAGGCAATTTCCATCTACGAGCGAGACATTTTCTGTGACGGCTGAGAACTCAGACATTCAACCGCTGTACGGTCATCGCTCGTTGGGTTACGGCGTGGGCCTCCGTAGCGTGCATTTCTCCCACATCCTCGAGCATTGGCCCGCGGTCGATTGGTTCGAGATCATTTCCGAAAACTTCATCGACTCCGGCGGACGACCGCGCTACGTACTCGATCAGGTGGCCGAGCGTTATCCGGTGGTGATGCATGGGGTTTCGCTCTCGATTGGTAGCAGCGACCCGCTGAATTTCGACTACCTGCGGAAGCTGAAGCAACTTGCTGACAACGTGGGTGCCCGTTGGGTGTCTGACCATTTGTGTTGGACCGGAGTGCTGGGCCGTAACACGCACGACCTGTTGCCGATTCCGTTCAACGAAGAGTCGCTGCGACACGTCGTCGATCGAATTCGCACCGTGCAAGACGTGCTCGAACGTCGTATTGCGCTGGAGAACCCGAGTTCTTACGTTACGTTTGCCGCCTCGACGATGTCGGAGTGGGAGTTCATCACCCGCATGGCCGAAGAGGCCGACTGCGGGCTGCTGCTGGACGTGAACAATGTGTATGTGTCGAGCGTGAACCACGACTTCGATGCCGAGCAGTACATCCGCGCCGTGCCGCACGACCGTGTGGTGCAATTTCATCTGGCAGGACACACCGACTGCGGCACGCATTGCATCGACACGCACGATGGTCATGTGGTCGACAAAGTGTGGGAACTGTATCGAATGGCAGTGGGGCTCACCCGGGGAGTGTCGACGTTGCTGGAATGGGACGCCCGAATTCCTACGTTCGACGAGCTACATGCTGAAGTGTTGAAGGCCCAGCAGTTTCTTGCCGAGGGAAAGACAGTTCATTCAGACAGAATTACTCAGACGCCTGACGCTGCAGACTTGGCGGCCGTACCGCATCCTTCACATCTGGTGATGCCGGAGGTGGAATGAGCGAACCCCAGCGGAAGATTGAAGCAATCCAACGTTGGATGCAAACCGTGATCACGCATTACGGTGGTGTGGAGCGAGGCGTTGAGAGCGACGAGGCCCGAGGGATCTTGGGCATCGATCCGGCCGAAGTCGAGTCGGTCATTCTGCCCAGCCGCCAGCTTTCAAGTATCGAGCGGTTGGAAGTCTATGGCAACGCCTACTACGCTCGCCTGATTCAGTGCCTGCAGGAGTACTTTCCGGCCCTGCGATACGCGGTGGGAGACGAGGGCTTCGATCAGTTCGCGTTCGGTTACCTGCAGCAGTTCCCCCCGAGCAGCTACACCCTGGGCAACCTGGCCGATCACTTCGTGCAGTTCTTGGAAGCGTCGCGCGACGAGCATTTCGCCGCAGATGGGGAAATTGCAGACGAAAGCGAGTTGGGCGAGGAAAGCACTACACCGCCGGCCTGGTCGCGGTTCATCGTTGAGTTGGCCCGCTTGGAATATACGATCGACCAGGTGTTCGACGGGCCAGGGTTGGAAGATCATCCGCCTGAGCTGGCCGAGGCGCTCTCGGCCGTCCCGCCAACGGCGTGGGGGTCGCTGCGATTGCAAGCCGTGCCCTGTTTGAAGTTGCTGGCGTTCGAGTTTCCAGTGAATGCGTACTTTTCGGAGTTCCGTCAGCAGGAGTCGCCAGAGCTACCGCACCCGGAGTCGACTTGGCTGGCGATCACCCGCCGCGATTATGTGGTTCGGCGCTACCCACTCAGCGAACCGCAGCATGCGTTGCTGGCGTCGCTCATCTCGGGTGCACCGCTTGGCGAAGCTGTCGAGGCAGCGGCCGAGACAACCGAAGACATCGATTCATTAACCGGCTCGCTGGGCGAATGGTTTTCGATGTGGGCCCGGGCACAGTTCTTCGCCGGGCTGGAGTACGACGCGATCGAGTAGGAATACTCAATGTAGCGTGCGTGCTGGCACGCACGTTCTTTCTGCAAGGCTTGGAGACTCGCGGCCGTGAAGCCTTTGTAGACGTTCTTCCCGCTGGCAATACATTCGTGCGTGCCAGCACGTTCGCTACGGTATCTGCTAGCGATGAATCTCAAAATTCTTTTTCGATCTGCCAGAAAAATCCGCAAGTCCGGCAAAGTTTCACACGATAAGTAGGTCTGAGCTTGCCAGAGTTCTCAGAAGCGGATGCTAGCAGACGCGGCTGAAACTCCTGCCGAGGCGATTCGAGATCGAGGTGGCAAGCGTGAAACTTGTTCGACGAAGGGAATCGTAAATGCTTCGCCGTTACCAATCCGCCGTCGCGTGCTGTTTGATGTTCGCGGCCTGTGGCCTGACCGGTTGTGCCACGCAATATGGCCCAGCCATTCAAACTTCCGCGATTTGGTATCCCATTCCGGTCAGCCCGTTCTTCCAAGATCAGGCCGAAGACCGGTTCTGGATGGCAGAGCGTTACGAACGAGCCCCCGTGCTCGGGCCGATCGGTGCCGATGGCGTAGCAATCGCCCTGGATGAACCGAGCGACGACGAAGTGATGCGGGCCATGCCTTCGATCGAAGGTGGTATTCCCTTGTTCTATACGCAACAACGCGACGACGTGAAGATTGTCAAAGAACTGATCGACGACTCGATCGATCCGCCGCGGGTATACCCGCTGGTCGGGCCGGCACAGCTTCACCACTCAAGGTGGAAATGTACGGTGTACTTCAGGGAGACCACCCATGTGGGCTGGCCGCTGCCCTACACCACCGTCGACGAAGACTCAGTTGAAGTGGTGTACATCGACCGCAGCCACCTTCACATGGTGGGCAACGTCGAGACCGATTCGCCGATCAGCAATTACTGACGACGAACGCTATCACACCTAGTAATCAACAATCGCCGTCGGGAGCATCGAGCTTCCGGCGGCGATTTTTTGTCGAGCTAGCGAACGTGACAGCAGAGCTTGGCCACCTCACGATCTGGCGAGCTTGGCGATTGACGCGACTTTGCGTGCTAGCGAGTTGCGGGGGTCGGTGACGATCTTTCCTTCGCAGCCAGTCTTGCCGGTATTTCACCAGCGGCGATACGATACATAGAGAGTGGAAGGATCCTCTTGTTGTTCATCGTCGCCGACGGATCGGAATGCAGTGTCCCGTCTCTTGCTAGCGTTGTCGCTGGCCATCGTGTGGTTTTCGCCCGCGAATGTCCTGGCAGATGAGGCCGACGACCAATATGCCGTCGCCGCCACTCACTACGCGCGCGGACAGTGGGAGCTGGCCAGCGAAGCGTTCGTCGAGTTCCTCGATGGCTGGCCGGATCATGCTCACGCGAACACGGCCGAGTTCTTCTTAGGCGAAGCGCTCGTCCAGCAGGGTGAGTACGCGCAGGCGCTCGAGCGGTTCGATCAAGCGCTGGCCCGTGATCCGGAAGGCCGTTACGCGCGGCAGTCGCTATTTCGCGCAGGCGAAGCTGCTTATCTTCTGCACGATTACGACTCGGCCGGAACCCGCCTTGCGGATTTTGTCGAGCAGTATCCCGACGATGAATTGAACGCCTACGCCTTGCCGTACCTGGCACAGATCAAACTCGAAGGGGGCGACGCCGAAGAAGCACGCGCCCAATTCGGCACAGCCCTCGAAATGTTCCCCGCGGGAGCGTTAGCCAGCGACTGCCGGCTAGGGTTGGCCCGGGCGCTGGCCGCTGTGGGAGAAGGTGACGCGGCCGCCGAGCAATACCGCAAGCTGGCCGGCGACACCAGCAGTTCTCTGGCCGACGATGCGTTGTTCCAATGGGCCGTGCAGTTGTATTCCGATGGCGATTACGCCGATGCCCGTCAGCGATTCGGCGAGTTGCTCGAGCGGTTCCCTCAGAGCCCATTGCGAAGCAAAGCCCGCCTGGGACTGGGGTGGGTTGAATATCACCTGGAAGATTACGCCGCGGCCGAACGTACCTTTCGGGCGCTGGCCGACGAACCTGAAATCGGCAACGAGGCCACCTACTGGCTCGGGCTAACGTTCAAGGCCCAAGAGAAGTGGCAACCGGCCGCAGACACTCTGCGTGAAGTGGCTCAGCATGAGGCCTCGTGGCAAGTCCCGGCTCAATATCACGCGGCCGAGGCGTTGGTTCAGCTTGATCGCGCGAACGAAGCCGGTGAGCTATTCCAAGCGGTGGCCGAGCACGCTGACAGTGAATGGGCCGACGATGCAATTCTGGCCTTGGCACGCGAGGCCTTCGAAGTAAACCAGTACGAAGAAGTTGATCGCCTGGCTGAGCGTTTGGCCAGTGAGCATGCAGACAGTGAGTTGATTGGTCACGTGGCGAGTATTCGTGCCCGTTCGCTACTGCGGCGGAAGGACTATGATACCGCGGCTACACTGCTGGAATCGCTGCCGATCGATGTTTCGTCGGACGCTCCGCAGGCCGAGGACGGCCACGAGAAAACAATCGACGGCTGGACGAACCGTTATCTCTTGGCGGTGGCCTACGAAGAGCAGGGTAAGAGCGACGAAGCCCTGGCTCTGATCGAACCCTTGCTCGAGACATCGTTCGAGGATGAAGAACTGTTGACCCTGCAAGCCAACGGACATGCGTTGTTGGCTCGCATTAACGTCGAACGTGCTGATTATTCAGAAGCCCTCAGTTCGTTGCGGCACTACTTGGCGGCCGAGCCCAATGGTGAGTTCGCCGCCCATGCGAAGGCTCAACTGGCAATCTGTCAGGCCCGAACCGGCGACCTGAAGACCGCCAAGAAAACATTCGACGCGTGGCGGGCCGATGCTCCGGCTGAGGAGTTGTTGCTTTCCACCATGCAGCAGTTGGCCGAAGCCGCCTTCGCCGACGGCGACCTGGTGTGGGCCAGCGAACGTTTTTCTGAATTGTCCGCCGCCGGACGCCCCGAGCGCTATCTGATGGCCGGTCTCTCAGGGCTGGCGTGGTGTCACTACGAGAACGAGCAATACCTGGAAGCAGCCCGGGTGTTCGACGACTTGCTGGAGCAATTTCCCACCAGCGAGTTGGCTATCGATGCCTCGTTGGCTCGCGGTGAGATCTTCGAGCAACAGAAAGAACCCGAGGCGGCCCTGGCAGCCTACCACCGCATTATCAATCGCGACGATGTGGATGGCGAGCAACTTCGCAAGGCTCTGATTCGCGCGGCCCGACTTCACGACGACTTCCAGCAAGACCGTGAAGCCGCCGCGTTGTATGCCCGTTTAGCGGAAGACTATCCCGACGACGAGCAACGAGATGGCATTCTCTATCAATGGGCCTGGGTGCTGGTCGAAACGGGCGACGAAGCCGCCGGAGCCGAACGGTTCGCGGAGCTTCGCAAACAATACCCCAACAGCCAGCACTATGCCGACGCTACGCTATGGCTGGCCCGATGGCAGTACGACGGTGGCCAACAACAAGAGGCCGCCCGATTGGTCGAAGAAGTGGTGACGACCGATCAACCGGTGGCGAACCTCGACCAGGCGCTTTATCTCCAAGGTCAGATCGCCGCGGCCGCCGGACAGTGGAAGCAGGTGGGCACGTCGTTCCAACGCTTGGTGAAAGAAGTGCCTGAGAGCCCCTTGCGTCTTGAGGCCGAGTACTGGCTGGCCGAGTCGAGCTTTCATCTGGCGAACAACAACCCGAGCGACGCGGCGGCGTTTGAAGAAGCTCAAGCGCGGTTCAACGACTTGGCCGAGGCAATCGAAGGCCAACAAGAACCGTGGATGGCCATGGTCTCGCTCCGTCGAACGCAGCTCGCCGCCCATCAAAACGAATGGGCCACTGTGCTAGAGATCGCAGAGACGATCCCCGAGCAGTTCCCGAACTTCGCTCAACAGTATGAAGTCGATTACCTCGTCGGTCGGGCGTTGGCCTCTCAGGCGTTGTTCGAAGAGGCCCGGCAGGCGTACCTTCGGGTGCTTCGCTCGAAGTCGGGCGGTAAGACCGAAACGGCAGCCATCTCGCAATGGATGATTGGCGAGACTTACTTTCATCAGAAGAGTTACGCGATCGCCCTGCGTGAATACTTGCGTCTCGAGATACTGTTCGCCTTCCCCACGTGGCAGTCGGCCGCGTTGTTGCAGGCGGGCAAGTGTCACGAGCTGTTAGGCGAGTGGGACAACGCTACCGAGGCCTATCGCAGAATTCTCAAGGAATATCCCAACACCGAATTTGCCGACGACGCCACCGCTCGGCTGGAAAAAATACGATCGAGAGTCGCTGAGCGACCTTGATCCAGGAAGTAATCGTCCTCAGGAAAGGAATCCGGTCATGAAGTCCTCCCGTTTGCGCCACGATTCTTGTCGCGGCCGACTCATCGCGGTTGGGTGCTTCCTTGCACTAGCGTTTGCGGTCACCGTTGCTCACGCCCAAAACACGTTGGTGGGCCCCGGTGGCGATCGGATTCCCGTGGCCTCGCAAGAAGTGGCCGACGCCACCACTGCAGGGCAGGGCGGGGCTGCCTCCGAGGCCCAGATTCCGACCAAGAACCTGTTCGACATTGTTCGCGACGGCGGATGGTTGATGGTGCCGATCCTGGCCTGCTCTTTCATTCTGGTGATCTTCGTGCTCGAACGGGCGATCAGTCTCCGCCGTGGGCGAGTGATCCCGCGACCGTTCGTGAAGCGGTTCATGCACCAATTGAGCGAAGGGCATCTGGATCGCGAGGAAGCTATCCAACTGTGTGAAGAAAGTGGAGCCCCGGTGGCTAAGGTATTCGCCGCGGCCGTGAAGAAGTGGGGTCGCTCGAGTGTGGAAGTCGAGCAAGCCATCCTCGATACGGGCGAGCGTGTGGCCAACGAGTTGCGACGCTACCTGCGCGTGATCAACGGGGTGGCCACCTTGTGCCCGTTGCTCGGTCTGTTGGGCACGGTGGTCGGCATGATCAGCGCGTTCAATTCGATTGCCACTTCGCAAGCGATGGGACGCCCCGAGCTGTTGGCCAACGGCATCAGTGAAGCGCTGATCACCACGGCCGCCGGCATGACGGTGGCGATTCCCGCCCTGACGTTCTACCTATTCTTCGTCAGTCGCGTTGACCAGTTGATCATCGAGATCGACGCGTTGGGCCAAGACGTGGTGGCCGTAGTGTCGGCCGACGGAACGCAGGGCACCAAGGCCACGCGATCGAAACCCGCCCGACAAACACGCGAGGCTGCATAGCTCGCGAGCAATCCCACGACAGCAAACACAACCGTGCCGGGGCCAGTCGCCCTCGCACATTCCTCTTCGAGGTCTGAGCCATGCCGCTCAAAACACATCACGACGAACAGCCGGCTTTGAACCTGACGCCGATGATCGACGTTGTCTTTCTGTTGATCATCTTCTTCATGGTCGGAACGAAGTTCTCCGAGCTGGAACGCAACATCGACCTGCAGGTTCCGGAAGTGGCCGACCGGGGTGCACTGACCGAAGGCCCGCAGAAACGACTGATCAATGTCTATCGCGACGGCGAGATCACGCTCGATCAACGCACCGTCACGCTCGACGAATTGACCAATCGCCTGGCCACGGCCCAAGGGCAGTATGCCGACCTGGGAGTCATCGTGCGTGGCGATGCTGAGAGTCCGTTCCAAAATGTGGCCGGCGTTCTGAACGCTTGCAAACAGGCCGGCGTGTCTGAAATGGCCATCTCCGTAAAGCTGGCCGACCCCATCCGACGTTAGTTCACCCGAGGGATTCAGTTGTCCTCAAGTGGCATCTACCAACTGTTCAACGCTTCCGGCGAGCAGATGATCTGGTCGGCGCTGTGGGTCGGGCTTGCGCTGTTGACGGTCATTCTCTTGGTTCTCATGCGCACGCGGTGGGGGCAATCGCAGCCGCTGCGGAAGTGTGCGTTCATCTCCATCATGGCCCACCTGCTGCTGGCGGGTTACGCGACCACGGTGAAGATTGTCGCCGTCAGCAGTGCCTCGCCCGAGGCTCCCGCCGTGGTGGTGCGAACCGTCGATCGCTCGATGGTGGCCACCGAGGCTGAACAAGCCACCGAAAAGCCAGCGAAACCGTGGGAACGGGTCGTCGAAAACAACGCGGTCTCGCCCGAGCCCGATCCGTTCGAGCGGGACGAAGCGCCGCCGGTCGAAGCGGTTGAACGAGAAACGCCTGAGCTGGAGAGTGAACTCGCCGACACGATGCCGCTGGGCGAAGTGCCGCTGGCCGAGACGGAAGCACCCAAGCCGGGCGAGATGGTGGCCGACACACCCCGGCCGAACGAGGCGGCCACCGATGTGGGAGCCGAGTTGGAAGCCCCGGTGGCCCAACAGCAAGCGGCTCCTGAAGATCCACTACCGGAGATGACGCCGCAGCCTCAGCGTTCGACGTTGCCGCTGCCGAACTTGCCGGCACCGCAACGGATCGTTCGTTCGGAAGACTCGCTGTTGGAGTCGGCCTCGCCGCTACCGCGAATCTCCGATCGAGCAACCACCACCGAAAGTGCCCCCTCGGCCGAAGCATTGGTCGACGAGATGCAAAACACATCGCGTCCTGAACCCTCGCTGCCGGCGCCTTCGGAAAGTGCCCCTGAAGATGCTGTAGTTTCTGATTCAGAAACGACGAACCCCAGCAACAGTTCCGCGGTGGCCTCCAGCGAAACATCGCCACAGCCCCCCTCGGGCATGACGAATACTCCGGCAACACAGCCGGAGGTGGGCATCGCCTCCAAATATCAACTACGTACGGCGGCGAATCGGGTACAGCAGGCAATGCTTCGCGGGGCCACGCCCGAATCGGAAGATGCCGTGGCCCTGGCGTTGGCGTGGCTAGCAAAACAACAAGAGCCAGACGGCCGTTGGGACGCCAGCCGACAGTTAGCCGGGCGTGAGCAATCGGTTGCCGGGCACAATCGCGGAGGCGCGGGTGCCGACGCCGATACCGGGATCACGGCCCTGGCGTTGTTGGCTTTCCTCGGAGCGGGACACACCCAACACGCCGGTGACCACAAAGACACGGTGGCCGCAGCGCTGAAGTACCTCAAATCGCAGCAGGGAGCCGACGGCAACCTGGGCGGAGGGGCTCGCAACTTTGCCTTCATGTACTGCCACGGTATGGCAGCCCTGGCAGTGAGCGAAGCCTACGGGATGACGAAAGATCCCGAGTTGGAACCGGTGGTTCGCGGTGCGATTCAATATTCATTAGCCGCCCAGCATCCGCAGACCGGTGGCTGGCGTTATCGTCCGTGGCAACATCGCCCCAGCGACGGTGGCGATGCCAGCCAGATGGGATGGCAGTTGATGGCTCTGACCAGCGCCGACCTGGCAGGCATCAAGCTTCCACAGACGGCCCGCGATGGAATGGTTAATTTTCTGAAACGTGTCTCGGTCGGCACCCACGGTGGGCAGGCTTGCTACCGCCCTGGCGAACAGGTTTCGCACACGATGACCGCGGAAGCCCTTTACTGCCGGCAGTTGCTCGGCATGGCTCGTGATAACCCGGCCAGCGACGAAGCTGGACAGTTTCTCATGGGCGAACTCCCAGGCATGGGAAGACAAAATCTTTACTACTGGTACTACGGCACGCTGGCCATGTATCAGTTGGGCGGCAACGAGTGGGACCGCTGGAACGACGCCCTGCAGAAAACCCTGGTTCCGGCCCAAACCACGGTGGGACAAGATGCCGGTAGTTGGAGTGCGAACACGGTTTGGGGCGGCTACGGTGGTCGCATTTACAGCACCGCCATGTCTGCCTTGTGCTTGGAAGTCTACTACCGTTACCTGCCCGTGTACGGCGAACGGGTAGTCTCGAAGCCCGGCGACGGCGACGCCGGGGCCGGGAATTCGACCTCAAGGAATTCGGTGAAGTAGCCAGAGCCACGATATGGCCATTCACCGCAGGCTGCCGGAAGCCCTTTCATCGGGTCGCATGAGTTCTGTCGATTGCGCGGCTCGAAGCCTCCCCCCGATGTGGTAAGTTGTTCGGCAGGCAGGGGATAGATCGCCGTGGTTGGCCATCGATTGCGCACATTCTGTTTGACAGTGCACCGGGCCTCGGCGAGAATCAAATGCAAGGCCACCTAGGTACTTACGGCGCGACTTTCGGCTCCTCGCGCCTGTTGCCTGGGAGTGTCGGGCGAGCCATATCCTGACATTCGCCTCGTGGGTCGAAGGCCCCGCTTGAGAGTCGAAGACCCCATGGAAAGCGATATCGCGATGAACATTTTGATCGCCTTTATGCCAGGCCCCCTGGAACTGGTGATCGTCTTGTTGGTCGTACTGTTGCTGTTTGGGAAGCGAATCCCCGATGTCATGCGGTCGATGGGGCGGGGTATCGTAGAATTTAAGAAGGGTGCCCAGGAAACTCCGGAAATCGAAGACGAGAATCAAGCGAAGTGATTTCTGGTGAGGCCTCTGGTCCGTGCTGCCACAGCACGAGATAATAGAACACAGCAACGTTCGCGAATGGGACCTAAGCAACTGGGCTGCCCCAAGCACAACACGTAAGGAAAAACACCGGATGGTCAATTTACTAGCATTCGTCGGGATCGGGCCGGTACAGCTCTTGGTGGTGCTCGTAGTCGCCCTGCTTCTGTTCGGTAGGCGGATTCCCGAGATGATGCGTGGGATCGGCGGCGGCGTGCGAGAGTTCAAAGAAGGTATCCGCGACGTCAGCGGCGAAGTCGAGGAATCGAAGACGTAGTTCAGGGCGTTCAGAACCGCAGGAAACTTTCAACGGCATGAAGTTCGTTCACTTGTGCCGTCAAAACTTGAGGTGATGCAATGAGTATTGTGAGCGTTTCGAGCCTGTTGGCGTTCTTTTCGCCCGGTCCGATGGAGATGCTGATTATCGGCATCGTCGCTGTATTGCTGTTTGGTAAGCGTTTGCCCGAGGTCGGGCGGTCGCTGGGCAAAGGGTTGGTCGAGTTCAAGAAGGGCATCCGCGGCGTGGAAGACGAGATGAACTCCGTCACCCGCGAGGCTGATCGAGCCTCTCGCTACAACGATGACGATGATCGTGATGTAGCCACGGCCCCCAAGTTCGAGCCCCCGCCAACCGAACCCCGCGACGAATCGGTCACCGCGTAGTCGCCCGATGTACCGGGTGCGAGCAGTCGCACCTCACAGGTCATCTGGCCGACTACGCTTAGGAATTTCTCCGCAGCGGCCGCGGGAAACAGTTTTCCCCCCGCGGCCCGGCATCCCACAACGATCTTCACGCCACCCTTACGTTTTCCCGACGAAGACGCTATCCTATTCAAACGCGATTGATCTGGTATCCGCGGGGCTCACAAGCCTCGCCCCAACCAGCTCTCGGGCGGCTAGCTCAGTTGGTTAGAGCGCCATCCTCACACGGTGGAAGTCACTGGTTCGAGTCCAGTGCCGCCCATTCCCCCTTCTTCAGACGTTAAGTAAGAATAGGAACCGAGCGGAATACCCGAGTAATTCTGCGGTTCTTCTTGTTCGCCGGTTTCTTGCTGCTCCTCAGTTCCTACCAATTCCAATGGGTACTGATGCGCATTTTGCAGCGCTCTTTTTGAATTACTTGTCTGTGATCTGCAGATAGTGCTTCATCGCCACAGCCTCACTTTTACCGATCCACTCTCAGCAGATGTGCTCTGGAAACTACACTGCAAGTTCAGAAGGAAGATGAAAGACGGTTGTTCGCCGCGTGGGAATGCGGAACTTAAAGTCTGCGTGGCTCCTCCAACACAGCCAAGGTTTGGTTGCAAAGTTCTGATCCCCACGCCTACTGTCTACGAAACTGCTCGATAACCGGGGCAGTGAGACAGGAATGGTTTGCGTAGACCGTAGGCAGGTGAAGACAGGGGCTCATGGAGCCTGCCAAGTGACTCGTTGCACCTGTGAAAAACGCGTACTAGCTCGAATGCTGTCTTGGGCCCCGAGCAGAGGAGTTATCTCCGTGGAAGTCCCGGACCGTTCTTTCGAGACTGAAGATTCACCCTGCTGTTCTTAACGCGAATAGTGCGGTTCGGGTCTTGCTTACCAGGGTCGCTCTCCGTGCGCGATGGTTATGCCATCGCGCTGAGTGTTGGCTTTGTGGCTCTTCCCGCTCCCGGCCCGTGAGGCGATTTCGGCGCCTAATCACATCACTGGAGCGATTCTATGATTCGAAGTTTTAGGCCAAACAACCTAGTTCCGTACACACTCTTGAAGGTTCTGCGCGCCCCAGGTTCTAGAGAACGGGCCTCGCTTTTACCTAATGACGAAGCGAAGCCAGCCGCTCGCAATCCGCGCGTCTGGGTCGCACTGTTGGTTGCTGTCTTCTTCGCTATGAGCAGTGCAGATACTGCACAGGCGGCCGTTATCTCATTAGACGATATCGACTTTTGGGTAGGCAGCGGGAGTAACCGGGCGGCCATGGTGGTCACTTGGAGTGCTCCGGAGGTTTTCAACAACACCATCGTGCCCGCGCCTAGCGAAACACGCACTATGTATTGGGGCTACCGTTTCGATGGCGCGAAGACCGGGGAGGATATGTTCAACGCGGTGGTGGCAGCCGATCCACGCCTGTTCGCAATGGCAAGCGGCAACACGCAGTTTGGAACCACGGTGTTCGGCATCGGATACGACTTGGACAATGATGGCCAATACGGACTGTCAGACGGATTCACCAACTACAGCAAGTCTGATTTTACCGCGGGCTTCGTCTATGGAGGCTATGGAGATCCTGATTACTTCTATACTACCGACGTAGACGACCTCTACTGGGGCGGTTGGTACGGTCCAAACTGGGAACTATGGCACGAGCTTGGCGGCAATGGTGGATTCACGAATGCACCAGATCGCGGACCTGACCCCTACTACACCAGTAACGGCTTCTACGGCGGTGACCATGGTGAATGGCACTTCTCCGAAGTCGGCATGACCGGAATGACGTTGGAAGATGGCTCTTGGATGGGTTGGAGCGTAGCCGCGGGCGGGTTGGACTACGGCAACCCATCGAGCGAAGGGACCATGGCTTGGCTCGACCATAAAGCTGCACCCAACACGGTGGCAGTACCCGAGCCAAGCGGGCTGATGCTGGCGGGCTGTGGGTTTTCTGCCTTACTCCTGGTCATCAGACGTCGAGCCACTACAGAGGCGGAGCCGCGCGGCGGCGAAGTTAAACGTGAATTCGTCTCGGTTCTCCTCGGTGCGTTGCTCATCCTTTGCTTTGCTGCAGGAACACGGGCCGACAGCCCGTATGCAACGGAACTCATCGAGGAGAACGCAACCTATGGAAATGCTTCGCTTTACAACGACCCGAATGCTGTACTGGGCGAGCCAACAAGAATCGCAGTGAACAACGACCCGTTCGTCGGTTCCAGCCCGTTTCACGTCAAGATAGTCGAACCTGCTTATAACCTCGACCCGGAAGACAACAAGGTTATCACCACCCTAAGCCGAAAACTAGTTTCGGGGAGTTACCAATACGGGGCCATTACGGTCAAGTTCGATCACCAAGTTTTTGACGATCCCGCGAACCCCTATGGAATCGACCTGAATGTGTTTGGCAATTCCTTCTATGTAGGAAGCGGCTACGTAAGCGATACATCGGACATGAGAAGCTACAACCTTGTTGGCGGCATCTTTGCAGAACCAGTCGTGGTCTCTGTGAGCCCCGATAATATCGACTGGTATACCTACAGCATTGGCCCGTATGGCGACACAGCTTTTCCAACGCAGGGACATCAGTGGAGTGCCGAACAACACGACCTGACCGGCAACGGTTGGACCGATCAGGAGACGGACTTTACAAAGCCAGTAAACCCGACTTTGAACTCGGTGCTCGGGGCGCCAGGCCAAGTCATGTCTGCCGCAGATGCGATGCAAACCTATGTTAACTCGGGAGGTGGTACGGGGATCGACCTGTCCGAATCCGGGTTTGAATGGATTCAGTTCGTCCGAGTCGAGGCAACCGCGCAGTTTCGGGAGGGCGAAATCGATGCATTTTCTGATGTTCGCCCCATGCTGGTCGGCGAAAGCCTTTCGATCACACCGGACAATATCGCAGAAGGAACCCCTCTGTTCTTTCAATCGCCTTCAGACGAAGCGCGCACGGGAGTCTTGGCTGAGTTCCTGGATGTGAACGGCCTGGCAAAGCTGACAACTGGGGAACTCGATGATCCATTGCTTCTATCAGCCCTTCCTTCGGGAAACCTGTTGGCCGGCTATCAGTTGGATGTCGGTTCACTCATCGGCGAGAGTGAAGTGGATTACCAGGCTTGCTTCGGATTGTTGCCTGGGCTGAACTACGCAGGTGACGGAACCGATCTCGAGTTGCTCAGCTGGAGCGGATCCGACTGGCAACCAATTCCGTTTCAATTCGACTCGGGAAGCGGTTTGGCCCAATTGTTGGATTGGACGGAGATGTCGTCATCTCTCGCCATTGTGCAAGTTCCAGAGCCGTCGACAATCGCTCTCCTCGCGACAGGAATTCTCGGGCTAGTGTTTCGCCGGTGGCGGCGTCGCTCGATCGCATGATAGACACGGCTCGCCGTTGCGAGAACGTTGCTCCCGTCTGAAAGCACCCTCCTAAATGAGTTGGGCAACATCATGCGCAGTGAAGAGTACCCGCGCTTGCAGAGAGGTTCCGCACGTTCGAAGCGTGCCTCTCTGCAAGTCAGCCGTGGTTTTACGTTGGTCGAACTTCTGGTGACGATCGCCATCATCGGCATCGTTCTGGCGATACTCGTCCCGGCCGTAATCGCGGTCAGAGAGTCTGGGAGGAGAATTCAATGTGTGAATAACCTGAAACAAATGGCCCTGGCCGTGCAGATGTATACCACCGCGAACTTGGGCTCCTATCCGGTGGCTTATCATTACGGATTCGATGGTACGAGGACGTACACGATTTGCTGGGATTTAACGACGATCAGCCAGCCAGGCCAAGAACCCGAAGTGGTACCCGGCCTGCTATGGCAAGGAGTTAATTCGCCGATGGTTATTCAGATGTGTCCTTCGTATTCGGGTAGCGCAAACTGGGCCGTCGATCCGTACACCGGGTACAACTACAACACGAGTTATATTGGGCACGGACAATACGAGAGCATTGTCGAGCCAGCTCGCGAGATCATGATCAAGAACAAGTCTTACACCGCGATATTCGGCGACGGCGAGTACGCGGCAGGCGCCAACAAATTTATGCGAGCACCCTTCGATAGTAAAGGAGACGATAGCTTCAATGGACGCTGGGCAGGTACCCAGGGGTTTCGTCACGCAGGAGTCACCAACGTCGCCTTCTGCGACGGCCACGTTGAGTCACGAGCCGACTGCTATACGCAAACCGACGACTGGAATGGTGCCGCAAACATCGCAGAAGGGACTGGATTTCTGGGACCAAACAACCGCATTTATGGCCAAGAGCCTTGACGGAACTGACCGGTAACAATGTGATAAGCAAGTTGGGCATCTTCGAGATCAAATGACCCAAGAATAGCCAGGGCACTCTCGGGCATATGTCCTGACAATCGAAGTTTGACTCTCTCCACATCTGCCAATCTGTCTATTGTGAGGCGGCAAGGTTGCAATCCCAGTGAAACCAAAGGCTCTACTCTCTTGGAGTTCTGGAAAGGACAGCGCCTGGGCCCTGCAGGTCTTGCGCGAGCGTGGTGAGGTGGAAGTTGTTGGTCTCGTCACAACTTTCAATGAGGCATTCGACCGGGTGGCAATGCATAGTGTCAGGCGGACGTTGGTCGAAGCTCAGGCCACCGCAGCTAATGTTCCATTGTGGTCGGTTTGGTTGCCTTGGCCCTGCACGAACGCGGCGTACGAAGAGAAGATGCTTGAACTCGTGGCTCGGGCAAAAGACTCTGGCGTCACCCATTTTGCTTTCGGCGATCTATACCTCGAGGACATCCGGGACTATCGCGTCCGACAACTCGCCGGCTCTGACATTGAACCGATGTTCCCGATTTGGACCACACGCACTGAAACGAAGCAACTTGCGCGATCGATGATCGATTCTGGGCTTCGTGCAACGCTTACCTGTGTAGATCCCAAACAGCTCGCACCAGAGTTTGTCGGGCAGGAGTTCGATCGCGAATTGCTCGAGAATCTGCCACTTGGCGTCGACCCATGTGGCGAGCAGGGAGAGTTTCACACTTTCTGTCATTCGGGGCCGATGTTCGATCGGCCGATTCTCACCACAGTCGGCGAAATGGTCCATCGAGATGGATTCTGCTTCGCTGACATCGAAGAAGCGAGATAAGTAAAACTCACCCCTGTCGGGCTGTCATCGGGATAGCTCAGTCGATTTGCTTGGGTGTCTCGACATACACCGCGTTGGTGCACGGGTTGGACGGGGGGTGCCGGTGCTGTCGGCGAAAGTTCCGTCAAGCGTAAGAGTGAGCCGGGGCGGTACCTCCCAGATCGCCCGCGGAGGTGTCGCCCACGGCGGCAGACCGATGTGGCTAGGGAGGGGCCCCGTCTCGCTCATGCTGGTCTAACCGCTGCAGCTATCAATAGGGCGGAGGATATAGCGGGGTTTTAAGCGGTGGCAAGATCGCATGAGAGCCACGGGGACTCGTGTAAGGGCATGAAGTAGAGCGATACGCCAGGCTATTATTGTGCCACACAATCGCGAGGCTGGTTACCACGATCAATGGTGCTACTGAATCACACGCTAGAAGCGGTGCGCCTCTCCTACGATCCATCGCACCATCACAGTGACGAGGAGTCCTGCAAGCATCGAGACGAAGCAATCGAGATTGCAGCAGTGCCTGATGAGGGTCGCTCGCTTCATTTCATGCAAAGTTCCCATGTAGAGGAATGTTCCTGCCCCTAACGCGAGCATGGTCGCCTTGACCACGAGCGCAGGACCGGTGAGATATTCTCGTGCAATTCCACCGCAGAGAATCCCAAGTGGGGTGGCAATCGCGAAGCACCCAAACAAGACAAAGGTTTGCCAACGCATCAATGTGCTACGAGTCATCGTTAGTGCAATGGAAAAACCAGCCGTGCCTTTGTGGAGGATGATGGCCATAAAAATGAGTAGGGCAGATGTTCGCACACTGGATCCTAGCGCTGCCCCTAAGAAAAACGATGAGGCCGCGATCACGGTGATCATAAGGATTGGGATTAATCCAGGAATTTCTGCAACATTGTCGGTCGCAGGCAGTTTCGCGAAGAGCTGTCCCGTCAAATGTTCAATCGCCAACAGCACTATGAAAGCAAGAATCGCGATAAACGAAGCGATGGGGAATTCAATGTCCGGCATTGCTTGCTGAAAAACGGTCGAAGCTGACGGCAGAAGCATAATTAGTGAGAGTGCCAGAAATACGCCCGATGAGAACGCTTCTCCTTTTGGGAATCCTATTTCACCGCGGGAAAGGCCTGGACTTGTGAGCGGAAGATACCCTCCTGCCAGAGCGCAAAGCAGGATCGCCAGGGCATAGAACAATTGGACCTCATTCAAAACTCTACCCTCTCTGAAACCAAACTCACACAACAACCGGATACGCCTGTGTTTCAACAGTCTTGCCGTTCACTATACTTCGCACCATCGCAGAATTGGGGTTCCAACAAGACTGAATGGATCCGATTCAGGACCACACACAGCTAGATAGATGGGTTGACCCAGTATGCGAACTGAGAACTCCCTCTTGCGCTTGGCAGCTTGGATAAACTGGCTGCCAACCATCCAACGCATGACGCCCAGACGGAACTCTTTGTTTGCACTGGACATCGGAATTGGCTCGAAAGTCAGGGTCACCGTCTTGGGTCGTCGGCTTATTGACCGAACAGCCTGGTAAGCACCCTGCTTTTTGAGCATTCACCCGCAACCACAGCCTTCGGGTGAGTGAGTCAATTCGAGACCCACAATCTGCTGTTTTTAGTTGCTTGCTCCAGGCACTTGCAATAGTATTGCAAGTATATTAGCGTAAGTCCAGTTGGCAGGGGGTGCTATCTGGCCTCGTTGATGTCACTTCTCGATTCTGGACTTCGTTGCAGCAAGCAGATTGCAATGGCCACGAGAACCATAAACCGGCAGGGGGGCTCTTGCATGCCCGATGGGCCTGTCAGCTGCATCACGGCAATGATTCACTTCGACCGTGGATCGGGAAAGCAGTGTATTACGGGTTATGTAGTGTCTTTCATCTGCTCACTTCCGTTGCGACGAAACGCGTTCGCTGGCTGAGCATGAGGGAGGCCGCCAAGAGAACATCGAAGTTGTGGCTAACCTTGCTGCTCCACTGTTGCGCTGACGAACGCTGTCCGTCTCGGCTACGGCTATTGAATTGACAGTGCCCAGTACTTCAGCCTCCAAGGTTTGAAAGGTAGAGTTTGATGGTGACGGCAATGAACGCGAAGACGTACGATGTCCTGGTCGTCGGAGGCGGTGCTGCGGGAGTCGGGGTCTCAATAGCGCTGAAGCATGCAGGTATTGAGAATTTTCGCCTGCTCGATCGGTCCACAATCGGCGCATCGTTCGCGTCGTGGCCAGCCGAGACCTGCTTCATCACTCCTTCGTTTCCGACCAATTCGATTGGGATGCTCGATTTGAACTCCATCGCAATTGGAGTTTCGCCCGCGTTCAGTCTGGGGGTCGAGCATCCGACGGGTGAAGAATACGCGGCACACTTGCGTGGGGTCGCAGAGTTCTTCGAACTGCCCATCTTCGAGCACACCGACGTGAAGCGCGTGACAAAAGTCGGCGAAGACTTTCGCGTCGATACTACGGAAGAGACCCTGAGAGCCAAGCATGTCATATGGGCCGCTGGTGAGTTCCAATACCCGAGATTGAATGGGTTTGTTGGCAGTGAACTCTGTCGGCACACGGCGACGATTCCCAGCTACGAAGAGCTTGAGGGGGACGACTTTGTCATCGTCGGGGGCTACGAGAGTGGTGTCGACGCGGCCTACCACCTGGCGTATCGCGATAAACGGGTGCGCCTTTTCGACAAAGGGTGTCCGTGGGACGACGAGAGTTCCGATCCAAGTGTCGCGCTATCTACGTATTCGCGGGAACGGATGCAAGCGGATTGGTTTGTAGATCAAGTGGAACTGTTTCCGGAAACGCCAATCGCCTCTGTTGCCCGCGAAGGCGCGAAGTACGAGATCACGACGCAAGACGGACGCCGGTTTCAAACTAGTGTTTCACCGCTGTTAGCAGGTGGTTTTGAAGGTAGTCACAAGCTAGTCGCGGATTTGTTCGAGCGGCGCGAGGATGGCTATCCACTGCTGAGTGAGCACGACGAGTCGACGATCGTAAGGGGTGTGTTTCTCTGCGGGCCCGCTGTGCGTCACGAGAATCACGTCTTCTGCTTCATCTATAAGTATCGACAACGTTTCGCCGTCGTCGCGAAGGCAATTGCCACCTCGCTTGGGCTTCCGGCGGAAGAGTTGGAAGCGTACCGCCAATGGGGCATGTACCTGGACGATCTTTCCTGCTGTGGGCAGGACTGCGCTTGCTGATGCCACCAGTGAGAGGAAGTTGCATGAAAAAGTTGGACTTAGAACGCTATCGGCAGCAGCTTCTTGCAATGCGAGCGCGCCTTCGCGGCGATACGCAAAGTCTCTCGCAGCGCGCCTTGGATGCTGCCGCGAACAGCCGCATGCCCATTCACATGGCAGAACGCGGTACGGACGAAGCAGCGCGCGAGTGTGACCTTATGCTCTCGCAGCAAGAGGCAAGTACTTTGGATCGCATTGAGGCAGCCCTCGAACGCATCGAAGAGGGTGTGTTCGGTATTTGCCTAGCAACCGGAAAGCCGATTCCCAAAGCCCGGCTCGATGCAGTTCCCTACGCCGAGTTCTGCGTGAAGTATGCAGAACAGTTGGAACGCGATGGAGGGTTGCCGTGATTGTCCTTCCCGAGGTAACGGATCAGCACGCCGAGTCGCTCTCCCGAGTGATCAGATCCTTTTAAGCCGTTCAAGACGTTAGCGCAGGCTGGTTCACTAATTACTCGACGCTGTGAACGAAAATCTACGTAACCAAATCATCATCCTCAAGACTCTAGAAACCCGCATGAGCCAAACCTTAGTCGCACCATCAGAAACACGCACCATCCTTGTCGTGGGCAAGGAAAGTGTCGGCAAGTCGCAACTAGTTTCCTCGTTGACAGGTCGTTCGGCGGGTGAGACAAACTTCCGCGGCTCGACCGTGATCGTCGAACGCTACCGTTCGGGGAGCACCGAGTACATCGATACACCTGGCATTCTCCGCAGTTCCGACACCGAGACGACACGGCTAGCCCTGAGTGCCCTCGCCGAAAACGATGTTGTTTTGTTGGTGGTCCAAGCGACCAGTCTGGACCAGGACCTAAGCGATATGCTGCCACTAGTGATCGGCAAGCAGGGGGCTATGGTCGTCACGTATTGGGACAAGGTGCAGCAGGGAGAGGCCGCCCAAGAGGCGATCGAACGCTTGGCGGCGGATGTGGGCGTCAAGTTTATCACCCTCGATGCTCGCCAGATTTCTGGCCCAAATCGTCAAGAGATTGCCAACGCGACCATCAACCCTTCGACATTTCGAAAAGCGTCGTTGACGGCTCGAGCGGGATGGCGGATCGAGCCGAAACCGGGATGGATGGAACATCACATTGTTGGCCCGCTGCTCGCTGTTTTGCTGCTCTTCCTGCCGGCGCTGGCGACCATCTACGGTGCAAATAAGGTGGCCGATCTGCTGCATCCCATTGTTGCCAGAGTGTTCGAGCCGGCCATTGCCACCGTGAACGCCACGTGGCCGAGTTGGCTGCGAATCGTGCTCACGGCTCAGCAGGGAGAATTCGGCTATGGTCTCTTGAATATGGGACCGTTCCTGCTGGTTTGGGCGTTCCCCACAGTGTTGATGTTCGCTCTGATTCTCGGCGTCTATAAGGCGAGCGGATTGATTGAGCGAATGAATGTCGCGCTGCATCCGCTTATGCGACCATTCGGCTTAAGCGGACGTGACGTAGTGCGTGTAATGATAGGTTTTGGGTGCAACGTGCCAGCGGTAATCAGTACGCGGTCCTGTTCGAGCTGTTCACGGGGGCCCGCTATCTCGGCCATCGCTTTCGGCTCGGCGTGCAGCTACCAGCTACCGGCCACCCTGGCTGTTTTATCTGGGGCAGCGGTAGCGACGGGAACTTCGGCCGTATCGCTGACGGGGCTGTTTCTGACCTACCTGTTAATCACGACGCTTGTTTATTTGCGACTCACTTCGAGTTCGCAGGCCCGCAGTTCACTGAACGTTTTGATGACACCCAGTCGACCGTTCATGCAATGGCCGACCTGGTCGGCTTTGTGGCGAGAAGCGTCGGGGACAGTTCGACAATTTCTGTTGCAGGCGATGCCTGTCTTCATCTTGATCTGTATCGCCGCGTCGCTGCTGGCTCATGCCGGAGTGCTCGACATGGCTTCTCGGATTCTGGGTCCAGTCATGGGGGCTTTCGATCTCCCCTCGCAAGCAGCTTTGCCCGTCGTACTGGCTTCTGTGCGTAAGGACGGGATTTTCCTGCTTGCGGCCGACGATGGACCATCCTTCCCAATGACAGCGGCACAAGCGCTCACGGCCGTGTACTTGGCGGGCGTACTTCTGCCATGCCTGGTAACGGCTATGACGATCGGTCGGGAAACTGGCTGGAAGCCAACATCCAGGCTTCTCGCACGACAGGCGCGATTCGCAATCCTCTTCGCCCTGATTCTAGCCTGGGGATCGAAGTGGCTGCTCTGATATTCTCGCGACAAAAACCGAGCACACGAAAAAGGAAAGGCAAACAGTCAATGCTGTAAGCGCAGGTTGAAATAGTTACCCGGAGCTTGTTGGTCGAAGCATGACGGAACGCCAGTGCATGAGTTGCGAACTGATTAAACAAGCGGCGGACTTGCTGAGTCAACAGGTGTGGTGCTGGGGGCAAGATATCCTGAGGCCACAGGGCAATTGGCTCCTCGAGTTGGGTTTCGATCGCATTGAGCCGCCCGTAGATCGAGACGGTTGTTCTAGTGTCTATACCTTGATGCTGCCTTGCCAAAGATGCGTGGTATTACGTGGATTTGGTGTGTTCTACGGAGCTGTTCTGCGGGGTGGTATCTTTTTGCCTCGATTCGAGTTCCTGCCTCGATATACAACTCACGCGACCCTGGAATTACCTCCCTGGTCTGATGAAGACTTGCCGAAGTTGAGTGTTCCGAAAGATTCTCAGCAATGCGATAGTGTGTCGTTGACATTGGAATTGATTGATTGGATACGGAACTACGAGTCGACCATCGTCAAGCACTTGGGGGTCGAGTACCGCCGGTCGACACTGCTTCGGTGGGACAATGGGAAGCGAACAATTGTTCCGGCGGAGGAGATGGCACGCGCATGGCGATTGCTCGGTATCTCAATTGCTGAAGACTGCCGGGTACTGTTCTCACAGTGCGGTACGGTGTGGAGTCCCTCTGGTGCCTGAATCCACGCCCGAGACGAACGACGGTTCGAAACAGGTGAGACGCACGCCTGCAACCCAGGGGTGGTGCATACCTAGGCCGGCCCGCCGATTCGGCGGAAAGCTGATGGAACAGCAAGTCTGGTGCTGGGGAAGGGATGTCGAGTATTCCGACGGAAATTTGCTGGTGGGCTATGGCTTCGAGCGCCATCGAGACTGCAGCACCGACGAACGGTCTACGTGTTATCGATTGGATCGAGGGCAGATTCACATCGCTCTATGGGGCTTCGGCATGTTTTATGGGTGTCGTGAGCTGGGGGGGCTCTACCTTAGCCGATTCGAGCTGTTTCCAACTTGGGCTCCTGTGGAGTCGCTCGCCCTAGAGATTCACTGGCCCGAGGATCTACCGGTCTTCGCTCGGCCTCGAGGTATGTTCGAGTGGCGATGCGCCCGGAAACTCTGGAAATCTTCTCTTCTCTGGATTGCGAACTACGAGACCTGGGTCCGCGACACGGTCGGCCTCGATTATCGTCGCGATTGTGTAAAAACTTGGCTGCGACCGTACGTGCGTGCCGACAAGGCGCCGGCCGCGTGGCGGTTTCTTAGTCGGCGGGGTTGGGAGCATCAGGATCAGCCGCTGCCGCAAGTATTCAAGAGATTTACTATCGCTAAGTGACTGCCATGAAGAAACTTCCTGTTTCTGTGCTGTCTGGCTTCCTTGGAGCCGGCAAAACGACCCTCCTGAACCACGTGCTCTCGAATCGGGCTGGCTTGCGAGTCGCCGTGATTGTGAACGACATGAGCGAGGTCAATATCGATGCTCAGCTCATCGTTGGGGGCGAAGCGGCCTTGAGTCGCACCGAAGAAAAACTAATCGAGATGACGAATGGATGCATCTGCTGCACCCTCCGCGAGGATCTGCTCGCAGAGGTCGCGGCTTTGGCCAAGGATGGCCGCTTTAATTATCTGTTGATTGAATCTACGGGCATCTCCGAGCCGGCCCCCGTCGCCGATACGTTTACGTTTGCAATAGGCGATGGAACACCGCTCTCGGAAATTGCAGAATTGGACACGATGGTCACCGTGGTCGATGCGGCCAACTTCTTGGAAGACCTTCAGATTGGGAAAGATTTAAAGAGCATCGATCAGGCAGCGACGGAGGACGACCCACGGACGGTCGCCGATCTGCTGACCGAACAAGTTGAATTCGCAAATGTGATCGTCTTTAACAAGACCGATTTGGTTGACGAAGACACGCTAGCGACTATTGAGGGTTTTATCGAACAATTGAACCCTTATGCACTCAAGTTACGTGCATCGTTTGGCCAAGTCGAGCCTTCGCGAATCATGGGCACGGGGCGCTTCGATTTCGAGATTGCCAAGAAGAGCAAAGGCTGGCAGCTAACCCTTCGCGGCGATGGTGCCAGCGAAGTGGAAGAGTATGGCGTCAACAGTTTCGTGTACAGGTCCAGAAGGCCATTCCATCCGCAACGGTTCTATGAGCGTCTCAACAGAGACTGGAACGGAGTGTTGCGAAGTAAGGGTTTCTTCTGGCTGGCTAGTCGACTCGATAAAATCGGCGTCTGGTCACAGGCCGGGCGAGTTGCTCGGTTGGACTTCGGCGGCTTCTGGTGGGCTGCTGTTCCGCGTGAACACTGGCCGAAAGTGGACACATTTCAATCCGATCTAGAGCGAAAGTGGCATCCAGAGGTTGGTGATTGCCGGCAAGAGTTGGTCTTCATCGGTATCGGCATGGACGAGATCGCCATCTACGATTCGCTTCAAAAGTGTTTGCTTACCGATGCAGAAATGTCGCAGGGCATCCAGGGGTGGCTAGACATTCCGGATCCTTTCCCAAAATGGGATATGAGTGTCGAGGATGCAATCGCGCAAAGTCAGCAAACACAACCAACGCCTTAGGACCAAGCTCATGAGCGAGAGTCGCATTCAATCGCATGATATGCGATTGCCGACATTGGTGTCCCCCAGATGATCTAGCGTTGCGTTCAGCCGTTAGAGGTCCCTCACGCCGACTCGTGCGAAACTCTGGGTAGCAGAGCCGTAAACAGCTTTTGCCAGAGTCATGATCGATGACAGACCTTACCGTTTGAGACGCCGATTCTTGTTGCCGGCTGTCACTCCATCACTCTTGGATCATGTCGACAAATAGGTCGGACAATTCGGGTCCAACTTATTGCAATTACTCGATGAACGAGTACCATTGCAAGTGTTACTCATATGCAATGCTATTGCATATAGTGAATTCTACTGAAGGCAAGGGGCACTCTTGTTCACGCTAGGAGGGTTTCATCATGCGCGTATTGCCTCTCGTAGTCTTGTCCAGCTGTTTCGCCCTCGCCATATCGGGGCTCGTGGAGGCAGATCAGCTAACGGCGACTCGACACCGTCCTGATGCTCCAGAGATTGGTGTGAATCATCCAGACTTGGCTGAGCTGTTGCAGCGACTCGCCGGTCAATCCATCCAAATCAGGACGTTGCCAAGTTCAGAAGGAGCTGAGGAAGCTTTGGGGGTTTCTGGTCGAAATGACTATGAACAGTTGAACCGAAACAGTATCGGAATGCGTGAAGTGTCGCTACTGCTGGTGGACTGTTCATGTCATCGGGTCTGCGACGACGTCTGGCTAGAAAGGCTCGGCAACCATGGCGTATCGATTATTAAGCTGAGACACAGCACGGTTCCTTCCGCAGTCAAGTATTCGCCGACTCACCTTCGGAAAATCTGTTCTGCCTTGTCCGAGGCTATTCCGGGGTGGGATGAATCTCTGCAAGAAAACTTGGCCAGAGAATTGAATAAACTGAATCAGTCTAGTGGTCGAACTCATAAATCCGATGTGGTACTTAGCGGTTCGTGAGATTACGAGAGATGTTCGGGAGATACTCGCTCAAAACAACTTGAGCGGCGTGCAGCCAGAAGTGTTAGCTGCAAGCCCAGTGAAGTTGGCGTAAGCCACCCAAATGGCTGGCCCCAAACTTTAGGGCCGGACGGAGATGGTGCGAGTTGGCTTCTATAATGCTTGCCAGCTAGCCGCCGATGTCGGCATCACGATCGGGCGGAACTGTGTGTTGTTCGTTCGGGTTTGCGTTCTGGCCATGCGCAACTTTTGTGCATCAACGGTCATGCGTTCACTTCTGAATGAAGTGCTAGGTGGGACATTAAATGGCGAACGATCCTCTCTAAGTTTGTTATGAAGTATTCGTGGTAGAGTTCTGGCCAGCGTGAATCGCCGGCTTACTCCACACTTATCTCAATGGGCATGTATTGTGATCGATCGTATAGGTCGCCGGTCACCGCATTCGCTACCTCCCGCGATTCCGTAACGCTTATGTTTGACGAACTATACAACGACATCATCATGGATCACGGCGAGTGCTCCACATTCCAAGCCGCACTTGCTCCGCCCGCACGACGGGCTGCCGCATACAATTCGCTCTGTGGTGACGATATCACCGTGTACTTGATCGTCAACGATCTTGGCGTTATCAACGAGATCACATGGGACACGGATACGGATGCCTGCATTATCAGCCGTGCCTCTGCGTCCATGCTCGCGGAGTCGCTCACGGGAAAGACCATCGATTTTGCAATGAAACTGTCAAGTGTTTTCAAATCACTGATTCGGGGGCAATGTGATGGGGCGATCGATACTCTCGGCGACCTGTCGGTGTTCGAATCGTTGTCACGTAATCCTCGACGCGTGAAATGTGCTGCAATGGCTTGGGCCGCGCTCGACGATATCATCGAGGATTTCGAAACTAAGTGATCTCGACAAGCGACAATCGATAGGCAACAGTTGTTCGGGGCTTATTCTCCAGAGCTGTTCGTTGAAACCGAGATGCAGGCGACGCCGTCGCGAATTAGAGCGCTTGGCGAGTTGCGGTTGCCGTCAGAAGGCTCAATACCAAAGTCGGTTGTACTTGGCACGCTCGGGGAGGGTCGCTAGCGGGAGATGTGAAGAAGATGGCTTGGAAAAAGGGAGAGCGGATTCCGACCAATGTGATCGTCGGATTTCTTGGTTCGGGGAAAACGACCGCCATCACAAAGTTGATCGATCAGCGTCCTGCCGGCGAAAACTGGTCCGTCTTAATCAACGAATACGGAATGGTCTCCATCGACCATGCTTTGGTTGATGCCAACCGAGAGGGTGTGGCGGTCGAGGAGCTGGCAGGCGGTTGTGCATGCTGCACGCTGGCGTTCGCCTTTCAGCCGCTACTGGCGCAGCTCATACGTCGCACGAAACCAGATCGTTTGATCCTGGAACCTTCGGGCGTAAGTCATCCGGCGAACGTCGTTGACATTCTCCGCGGTCCGAATTTTTCCAGTGCCATCGATCTTCGCAACATCATTTGTTTGATCGATCCGAAAGACTTCGAGGATCCTCGCTGGCGTGAAACGACAATTTTTCAAGATCAAGTGCAATTGGCGGATATTGTCGTCTTGAATTGGACGGATAACCGTGATCGAGAGCTAGTCGATCGTTGTCGTGCTTGGATCGAAACCTTCAGTCCGCCGAAGCATATGATTCTGGAGACGAGCTACGGCGCGATTGACCTCGAATTACTGGATATGGAATTCGACACGTTGCGTTTCCCCTTATTCGCAGATGCTCACGCTTCACCGAAATCAAACCAGGAGGAACTTTCGGTTCTCGAGTTGGCCTCGAAGATCGGCAGTCACTCGAAAGATGGCGTAGACAAACACTCGGAAAGCGATGTTGCTAACCGAAGGCCTGGCCACCGGCAGCCGCTGAGGTTCCAGAATGACGACCCCAGTTATGACGCATGCGGCTGGATCTTTCACGTCGATGACATCTTTGATCGAGACAAGCTGCTCGACTTGCTGGGGTACGTCCATCCCATCGTGCGATTGAAAGGAGTATTTCGGTGTCACGACGGCTGGTGGATGATCAATCGGGCCAAGGATGCGACCACCTATTCCACTTCAGCCTACCGACGCGATAGTCGCCTCGAGATTATTCTCGACCGTAAGACATCAGGTTGGAACGAGTTCGAGATCGAACTGCTCCAGTGTTATGCGGAATAAAGAGTCACTGCAGAGCAGCATAGCTTTGCTGAACAGTGCTCCGCAATTCATCCACCCTTGCTAGTGCGCACAACCTCGACTACGACTGGTTCACTGTTGTCGAGGTTGGCGGCACTAGAGCCTTTCACGTTTCAACGTTTGTCAGCCCTGCTTAGGCTTTGATGCCGGCAGCGTACAACTCGTTGACCTTCGGCCAGTTGATCACCGAGAAAAACGCGGCAACATAATCAGGCCGGCGATTCTGATACTTGAGGTAGTAGGCGTGTTCCCACACGTCGATGCCCAGCAGCGGTACGTTGCCGGTCATCACGGGGCTATCCTGATTGGCAGTGCTTTCCACGACCAATTTCTTGTTCTTATCCAAGCTCAGCCATGCCCAACCGCTTCCGAATCGCGTGGTCGCAGCCTGGGTGAAATCGCTCTTGAATTTTTCATGTCCCCCTAACTCCTCATCTATGGCCGCGGACAACTCCTGCGATGGCTTACCTGCATCTTTCTTCAAGATTTCCCAGAACAGTGTGTGGTTGGCGTGTCCGCCACCATTATTTCGCACCGCAGTTCGAATATTCTCCGGCACCTGATCGAGATTCGCGATCAGCTGATCGATCGGCTGCTTCGGTACGCCAGAACCATTGAGCGTCTTGTTCAAGTTATTCACGTAGCCCTGATGATGCTTATCGTGATGGATCTCCATCGTTTGCGCGTCGATGAACGGTTCCAGTGCATCGAATGCATAGCCGAGCGGTGGGAGTTGATAGGGACCGGCACCGGTCGTGGTTTGAGCAGTCACCGAAGCCGTACTCATACCGCCCAGAGCAATAGCCGCACCAACCTGCTTTAAAAAGTCGCGGCGCTCCACGGCGGGCTTCATAGTCGAAGAATTGTCTGCAATGACCGTCTTGAGATGTCGCATCGAAGGTGTCTCGCTTAAATTCATAGATTTAGTTGCTTACCATATCCCCCCAAATTATATCCTGGCCACAATGTCCAGCAACGTTCGCCAGCTTAGGGCAAGAGAATTTGAAAACCATCCAGACGCAGCACAAACCCGGCACCCAAAGGGCCTCGCTGCCCTAACACCATGCCCTACTCGTTGTCGCGTGCATGTCGTCCTACTCAGTCCCGAAGACCACACTCACCCAAGTGTTCAGCCAGGCAGCTTACAACCAGGTCCATTCGCCCCGAAGATCCATCGACGCTTCGAGCACGTCCCCACCGGTACCCCACAGCTAGCTCGAGTCACATAAGGTGCATCAACCGCCGGATCGTGGGTTTCGCCGTTTGCCGCAGAGGTTCACTTCTCTCCCGGTGTTGGCCATTTGAGGTTGGCCCAGGCTGGGCAGGCCGAACGGGTATAGGCGAAGAACCCTTTGTGATTTCATTGTTTGTCACATTTGGGAGAGGAGGGTGCCCCACACAGAAAAGTGACGAACACTGGGAGACCGACCCTTCCACAGACATATTACCCTGATGGACTAGCCGAGCCCCAAGAAGACTGCGAACTTGACGCCGAGGAGTTCGAGCACGACGGTACCCCGATGACTCTCAACCGGTTTCAAAAGCTGATGGCCCAGCGACGGGTGGAAGCGAAAGGTTACACAATCGGGCGCATCGTCAACCGGTGTTGTTTGTTCGCACTATCAATGTACTTGGTCTAGTGCTTAACCTGATCGACCATCATGCGGCGGGCGTTGGCTTGTGCCGACTCCCAATCGCCCTCGCGGCACTGTTCGCAGATGTCGAGCAACCACTCTGCCTCCTGCGAGGGCAACTCGCCCGACTGCGCAACCGCGTCGATTTGAGCTTGCACGGCGTCTACCCGATCGGCCGACTGCCGATTGCTTAGCGAGTACAACGCTTGGGCGTACTCGTAGCCCGTTGAGCTTATCGGGCCATACCCGCAGCCGTTTAGTGTGAGAAGGGCGATTGCTGCAATTGCCGCCAGCAAGCTGGTTGCTTTTTGGTTAGAGCGCATTTTGAGACACCTCGCTTTCGCCGATGCTGCTGTGTTCTGCCCACACAAGGAGATTGACGTTGTCGATGACAAATCGGACCGAGCCATCGCCAAAGCAGACGTTGCCTCCACCAGGATGTTCGGAATACATCTGGCCGACGTGGTACGTAGGGAAGTTAATCGGGTGGATAATCGGCTCTCCTGTGATATCCAGCTCACCTCCCGAAGGACCACCGTGCACCAGCACGAGGGTGGCGGACGCGTCAGGCCCGTTCTCTGGCGAAGTGAAACCCGGGTGCGTGAACGCTCCTGGCACGACTCCGACCCAGGTCTTTTCGCTCAGTTGCGATGAGTGTTCGCCGAGGAAGATCGTGTGCGACAGTCCGTCGGTGACTTCGGCGAATCTGGTTCGGGAGTTGCGATAGAACGGGCCGTCGGCCACCTTGGAGACATCGCCGTCGTGCGTGACGGTAGTAGTCTCGCTGGTGTAGATGTTTGTGAAAACGGTCGTGGTGTTCTGCGCCCCACATTCGCCCCAGCAAGACTCCTGCCCGTGGTTGGCGACATAGTGCGTCCGACCAAGGCGGATTTCGCCGGTTCCTTTATCAATCGGGTTACCAGGTTCGTCAGTAACAACGAACGGATCGGTAGGCCCCGAAGAGGACGGGCAGAGGAACATGCCGATCGTAGTCTGGATCAACTCGGCATGTTGTAGGGCCCAGATCGGCTCGTCCATATTCAGTGACTGTTCGATGTTGCCCTGCTCCATGTAATTCAAGATGTGTGCACACCAGCCCCAGCCGGAGGGCGCATCCCAGGTGTCTTCGTCCCGTTCAGACGACTCGATATCGGCCACGTACCCGGGCGGGAGATGCCCATGCGCGAGTTCGAAGTTGTGCAACGCCAATCCCAATTGCCGTAAATTGTTTTTGCACTCCGAGCGCCTGGCAGCTTCCCGCGCCGCTTGAACGGCAGGGAGAAGTAAGGAGACCAGGATTCCAATAATCGCGATGGCGACCAGCAACTCAACCAGTGTAAAGGCTGGCCGATGGTGGCGCTGATCGGATAAGTGTCGATAGGGCTGTCGGCGCATGTCGAACTCGGTGGTTGGATGGTTTGGGGCAAGGTTCGCACAAATGTAGCCACGGCTACATTTGTTTACCGCGACAGTTTAGCCAATGCTACACTCTGGCGTCAACCACCTACAGAAATTGCTGTGCCTCGAAACTGGCCAGCCAAGACGACGTTGCAGCATGGTTACCAACTTGCACAGTCGTTTGTTGGCAGGGAGGAGTTTGCAGAGGCAGCTCAGACTTTATTCAGGCCGATATCCAGTCCAGAACTCTCGGCGTGGCCAGAGAATGAATGCCTACGTGATTCGACGTGCAATGGGAAAGGGATTACGGCAGCCGGAGCATCGTACGCCGCTTCGCTTGACCGGTAGCGCAAGTGTAGTGTATGCTACACTTTATGACATGGCTTTAGCCAAGTCGCTTATCGCAACCGTGCGATTTCCTAGAGATTAAGTGGGTGTCCGGGCAAGGGTTGGAAAAGATTCCAAGGAGCATTGAGTGACGAAATCCACCGCTAATTCCGCGCCACACCAACGAACGCGGCGTGACCACGGCTCAGAAACGGCGGAGGACTACGTGGAGGCGATCGCCGAAATTATTGCCCGCGCTGGGACGTGCCGGGCAGCCGACCTCGCACAGCAATTTGCAGTCAGCCATGTGACCGTGAAGCGAATCGTCGATCGCCTCCAGCGAGAAGGTCTGGTCGATACAGAACCATACCGACCGATCGAACTCACCTCGGCTGGCAAACGGCTAGCGCGAAAGTGCCGGGATAGGCATGATATCGTTTTCCGCTTTCTGATTGCGATCGGCGTTGACGAAGTTACGGCGGCAATCGACGCAGAAGGAATTGAGCACCACGTCAGCCCAAAAACACTTCGTCGTTTCTCTGCATTTGCGAACCAAAACAACATCAAAGGCTAGCGAAGATAGTACCTCTAATCGGCGGTGGCTCGTCGCTTTGTTGTCTTTGCTTTCAGTTGTATGGTCTTGATTCTCTATTGAAGTCGCGTTTCGGTCACTCCCACCTCTGCAAGTTGGACGAGATTCAAGATCAAGGCCGCTGCATCGGCTCATGCGGCTGGGGACCCCGGAAAACTGTGGGAGGTGTCGTCGCAGAGGAGACATCTCGGCGCTTCCGCCAATGCCGGAAGTTGCACGTGGAGGTCCAACCTCGACGACTTCAGAATCCGGCAGAGTCTCGGCGGCGATTTCGACCTCACCAGTTTGCGGAACGTGTATAGGACCCGCCCTCCGTAGTCAGCGTGTGGTCTGGTGATCATGTCACAGCTCGTGTTCTCATTAGCAGAAAACTCAGAGAACGTTCGGCAAGGCCTCGAACAAGCTGCCTAAAGATCTGCCTTCCGTTTCATTTTAACGACAAGCGAATCACTCCCGCATTGACGAAAACAGTCGATTGTCGACTGCGATTGCGATCTTGCCTTGAACACCGTTGTTGGGACTCTCCAGTCGGGCATGAGCGAGCGGAATCTCGGCAAGCGAATAGACAGCGCCAACGTGTGGCCGCAGCTGACCGCGCTCTGTCAATGCGCTCAACTCGTCAAGCTTACCGCGATTCTGTCTTGTAAAGACAAAATGGTAGCTGGCATTCTTGCCCCAGGCCGGCATGAGATTTTGTGGCTGTGCTATGTCCACTATCGTGACAACCCGGCCAAGTTGTGCAAGTGTATCGGGGCTGCGCGACAGTGTGTTGCCGCCGATGGTGTCGAACACGACATCGACTCCGCGGCCGCCCGTCTCCCGCAAGATGGAGTCAACGTAATCTTCTCTTTCGTAGTCGATGATCACGTCAGCCTCTAAACTTCGCGCGAACTCAAAGTTTGCTTCGCGCACAGTAGTGAACACCTTCGCTCCGATGGCTCTTGCGAGCTGGATCGCCACATGACCGACTCCACCCGCGCCGCCGTGAACCAAAATGCTCTCCCCCACTCTTAGCGACGCACGTACGATCA